ACAAATTCTAAGTGATCTTACAATTATTCTAGATTTTATTTTGTTGTGGTGTGAGTAGAGAAATTTATGAGATCATTTTAGATTGTAGATCTTTGGTAGATGTTTAGCAAAACTCTATTATTAGAAAATTAGTGAATCTGGCAAATGTTTGGTTAAATTCTATTTATCTATATTAATAGAAAAGTAATGGATCTTTGGTAGATGTCCAGTGAAATTCTGTTATTAGAAAAGTAGTGAATCTGGCAAATGTTTGGTTAAATTCTATTTATCGATATTAATAGAAAAGTAATGGATCTTTGGTAGATGTCCAGTGAAATTCTGTTATTAGAAAAGTAGTGAATCTGGCAAATGTTTGGTTAAATTCTATTTATCGATATTAATAGAAAAGTAATGGATCTTTGGTAGATGTCCAGTGAAATTCTGTTATTAGAAAAGTAGTGAATCTGGCAAATGTTTGGTTAAATTCTATTTATCGATATTAATAGAAAAGTAATGGATCTTTGGTAGATGTCCAGTGAAATTCTGTTATTAGAAAAGTAGTGAATCTGGCAAATGTTTGGTTAAATTCTATTTATCTATATTAATAGAAAAGTAATGGATCTTTGGTAGATGTCCAGTTAAATTCTATTTATCTATCTTAAAGTGATGGAAGAAAATATAAAATAGATTCATGAGATTAAAAGCATATTGACTGCATAACATGAGAATTCTAGTCACATCCTTGCAAGACAATTTTTGATAAATTAGCAAAGGAAGTTAAATTCGGGTCAACCAATTATTTTTTTTAAGTCGCATACTTGCAAGACTTCATTGAAAAGAAAGAAATAGCAAAAACTTACACGAGATTGAATGTGAAGAAGGATTAATATCCAAAACCTCAATATCAGACTGTTCTTCAGTAGAATGTTCACATTCTGACTGTTGACAAATGGATTTCAAAAGAACATTTCTCTTTGTCATCACAGAGTCATGACTTTCATCTGAAGATTTTGGGAACTGACTTCCTGAAGAAATCTGAATATCAGACTGGTATTTGGAATTTTTATTGGATGTAGCATCTTCCCGAATCACCGGAGTTTGAGACTTTTCTCTAATCCCTCTATTTTCTATTGGAATCAATTTCTGAATTTCTTCCTCATGGGTTGATTCAGATGAGTTTGGTAAAAATGTAAGATCTTTTTTAATTGGTACAGACACTGATGGTGCCACTGACAAAGTTGATGTTGGCACCTGGACTTTAGAAGTAGATGGTAAGTGATTTGTAGCTGATTCAGGATAGTGTATATTTAAACTAGAATCTGATGCTGACATTGTAAAATCATAATCAATTTTGACATTTTGAGGTAAATCAGAGGTGGATTGACCATGGCTTCCTTCATTCCTATGTGTCATTGATAGCAGAGGCTGTATAGATAAAGGGAGGTTCTGAAATTTTTCATGAATAACTGTTTGTGGTATCTCCTGCAGTACAGTAGTTTGAATGTTATCTTCGTGTTTTTCAGTTAGAAGAGAAGACGGTTTGATAGACATACTTTTATCTGATGATGCTTCATTCTCAGAAGCAGGAGAATCAGCAATATACTCCAGTTTGATTTCTCCTGGTTCCAACATAGTTTGAACATTATCCCCAGTCAGTTCTGCATCTGAGGTAACACTTGTTCTAGATGCTGCCACTGGTGAGAAGATGTTAAATCTTTCAGCAGTTGAGATTGGGATGTTAGGTAAGTGTACTGTATCTACTTCTCTTCCATGAAATGCTAGAGATATTGATGGGTTGTTATCATCAAACCTTTTGTGATAGTTATACTGAATTTGATTAGAAGCATGTGCAAAATCAGAGTGATCTGTCATGTAGGAAGCCACTGATAAAGAACCTGAGGGCAAATTTCCCTTTGGGTTTCTCCGATCTAGTAATGATTCTAGTCGTTCTTGGGGTGTAGTTGTTGAACAATGAGGTGTCTCACCAGCATTGCTGGGGGATTTATGTAGGCTTGAAAATCGGTTTACTTGATTCAAGTTAGAAGCACACAATGAGGGATCATAGTTACCAACTATTTTTTTCCGGCGACGGGAGCAGTACACTCCAAATGAAGGGATACCTGATTGTCCTTCATGATTAGAGTTGACATTGAACACAGTTGGTATAGCTCCTGGTTTGAAACGTCTGTAACTACCATCAGGGCTTTTATACTCAAACTGTTCTTCATCAAAATGAACCTGCAAAAATAATTTTGTATGCTGTAACATTAAATATAATATACAGAATATGTAAAAAAAAAAAAAAAAAAATGTACACCACATAAATTTGTGGCTAAGATTTAGAGTATTATTACTTGAACAAAAGCCTTGTACATTACTGATCTATTTATTGTTTTACTGGATTTTTGTAAGCTTTGCTCTTCATATTATAGGATATATTAGAGGAGTTTAAAAGTATTCTTCTTCATCATGTAAATATTGAAGGCTACAAATTCTTATTCTCAATTTTATTTTGTAAGTAGAGAGGTTTATGAGACCATTTTAGTTTGTAGAATTTTGGTAGATGTTGTACTCATCACCCTACTTCAGGTGATATATGTTGGAATTTCAGACCAAGCTCTTTATTTAGTCCACAGGGTTAGACTGTTCTAATTCCACATGCCATGCCTTTGGATATCTCGGTTTCAGTTAATTCCCCTTAGTAATACAACTCTTCAAGTTTTTGTTTACTCTGCTGTGTCCAGGTATTGAACTCACAACTACTTGGGTCAGATCACTTTTGGATCATTCAATCAATGCTTTTTATCCACTGGGCCATGTATCACCTAAAGAAGGCTGGAGCATACAATGGCAATAAAGATGAGGACAACAATCCGAACAGTGTAAATAGTTACCATACCTCATCTCAGAGATATAGACAAATTACTGATCTAGTTATTCAGAAATTAGTCACACACGCAAATAAAAAATATAGTTAAGTAATGAAAACTTTGGTAATCCATATGGATAATCCCAAGGAGGATGTAATCCAGAGAGCTCAATGTCAAATCATATATAAAACATTCTTTCTTTAAGTTTGGAGTATATCAAGTCTGGAAAGTGAAGACTGAGCATCATCCACCAGCCCAGATATGGCAGCAGTACTCCATTTTTGGTGTGATCTGGCTCTTGCTATGCTCTAATTTTATGTGTCTTTGTAGGTGATGAATTGTTTTGCACCTTACAACCCCTTTCCCCACAGACAAAATGTTGCAAGCTCTCACTACTCTACTGGTATTTCCATGGAAAATGTTAGAACAAACTACATTCATTAATTCACCCAACTCTAATCACCACCCCCAGCTAAGACCAACCACCCTCATTCCCTTTGTATTCCTTTAGTAAGGAGCAATTTGCACTTGGATAGCTTCTTCCCAAGAAATGTTGCTTTCTGGAACAGAATCCAAGTAGCATGCTTTCACGACCATTACAATCTTAACCACTTCAAGTCTAGGGTTAACAAACCATTATGTTTCTTACATAAACTTTGCTCTTTACACTTACCACTCACAAAACAACCACCTTCAGTAACCCTTTACCTTGAGTGGCTCTTGAGCCTTGTATAGGGTGAACATTAGTAAAAAAGAATATTAGCAAAAACTTAATTTATTTTTTTAAAACAATAATATAGGTTAGCTAACCTATATCTATCTTTTTTCATAATTGTATAAAAAAATAAACTAAACATCTAGCTAAAAACATTTCCTCACCAGAAAACCAAGACTTAAAAAATCATTTGTTTATAAATTTGCAATATACAAGCAGTGGGCCCTAGGGCATAAATGTTAATTTTTACGTTGTCAAAAAAAAAAAAAAAATTAAATTAAAAATAAACAGTTCGTAAAAAAAAAAAAAAATTTAATTTGTATTTTTTGTCTAATATTTCTTACAGAAAAATACAGCACAAAGAGTTTATACTAAAAATACATATTTTTGTTCTACTAAATTTATGTGTACTGTAATCTTTGAATTAATCGGGTTTTTTGTTTTCGTTTTCTTTTGTGATGCATATTTCAAATCCCAACGAAGGAAAGCTCGGAATATGAGGCAAAGTAAAGAAATTTAAGGAAAATGTAAGGGATGTAAATTCAGTGTTTTTTTGTTTAATATGCAGAAATTGTTTATGAAAAACATACGGAAGTTATTGATTATTTTTTTTTTAAGGAAATAATCTTTTGACTAGTAAATAATAAGTTGAGTTTCTGAGTTTAAGACTAGGTAAACAAACAAAAAAAAAACAACTAAAATAAAGAAAAAGAAAAGTTAATTTCTTTTTCTTTTGAGCATAATGAGCCGAAACATCATCACGTGTTTTTGTATTTTTAAGTTGCAGTGAATTTGTAGATTTAACGCACAAACTTGCTACAAGAAAGAAACACTTTTTGTCTTCACTTTTAAATCGTATTTGAGCTCATCTGGACTATTTCACCGCTGTAACCATTGAACTACAACCGCACGTGTTTGCCTTTTAAAGAAAATAAACATTGGCACCGAGTAAACCGAAGTTGTCTACTCCTGTTTTAGATGGCATGTACTTTTATTGTTAACTCCTAGAGGGCGCGGCTATATAAATTTTAAAACAAGACAATAAAAATGCCTGATAGCGAATGAAAATGTCAAATACCTCGCAAAGTCGACAGTTCCGAAAGTTAGCAGGAGGATTCCAATTCCAATCGGCCCTCCTGACGTTGTTGATCCAAATCTGACGAATTGCCGGATCAGCAGGAAAACGTTTCATTTTATAGCCACCTTTTGTTGCTCTGTTGGAGCAGTTTGGTGCCGAACAGCCCACCATAGTGCGCCTTTTTGGAGTTCCTGGCTCCTGATATTACGCAACGATTAACGTTGCTCTTATTTTCTTTAAATGATAATATAAATCTTTTCCCCCTCTTCCTTTCTAGTCTCTAAAAAAACAAGATATTTAAAACATTTGTTTTAAATTCTAATTTAAAACAATGCGACATGCACCTATGACAGTGAAGATGGCTCCAGATGGTGCCAACTGTATTAAGGTAGATAACTCCGTATTACTGACAGGCGGCAGTAGTGTCGCGTTGCCATGAGACAAATATAAACATTTTAGTTTACTTACATATATAAACAAAAATCGCACGAGTTAAATTTTTACATACCAACCAGTAACTTTTTGCCTTTATAGTTTTTGTTTTTTTGTTTTTTTTTGTTTTGCCTGGAAGTTGTATTTACTTGTTCATATACGGGTGTTTATTTTTGTTAGAATAAGCCTTGAAATGTGAGTTTAAAACTTTTTTTCTCTTTCACCATTTTGCTTTCGAATTTTAAAGCAACAATTTTTTACACATTAAATTTATTTTTCTACATATGTTATCCAGGCAATGACTATTAATTTGATATTAATCGTTTCTTGGATAACCTCTTCCTTGCATATAGATAAATGGATGTGTTTTTATCCGAAATGAAACAAAAAAACGCTACCTCCTGTTTTTAAAAATTTGCAAAATATCCGGGAATTATCCGAAATGGAATTTCCAGTAGTTAGTAAATTGTAGACTGAATAGGTCATTTTATTAGAAAACTTTGTGAGATATTTGGTGTGGGAGGCTCATTTTATAGTTTTCGTATGTACTTTTTTAATTGGTAGTGCTGTTCGCGATTTTTTTTTAACATAATGAAAAAATCCTAGATGTTATATAATCTCAAGTGTGAACAATAACATACTGAAAGTTCGTACATAAGCTTCCTGAAAAAAAAAATAAAAATAAAAAAAATGAAATTTTTGAATGCTTACTTAATTTTTAATAATAAAAAAAAACTGAACTAATTTAATAAAAAGACTGAACAGGAAAAAATCTACATATATATATATATATATATATATATATATATATATATATATATATATTATGTGAATTCATTCTGTTGATTTTGGTAAAAAAGAGTTCTTTTTATTTAAATAAAAATAAAAAATGTTTGAAGAATAGAAAAATGTAAAGTTTAAATGCCATTTTCGAGTCTGAAACTTTTTTTTGTAGAATTTTAATTTCATTAATTCGATTTTTTTTTTTTTTTTTTATTTTGTATAAAAGTTTAAAAAAAAGAAATAATTTTGAATAACATCCTTTTCTTGTCTATATTCTTTCCTATCAAGATTAATGTGACAAGATAATTCAATAACTCTTCAGAATAATTGAAAAAAAGCTCACTGAGTGCAAATGACATCAAATAGGCAAGAAATTAATAAAAAATAAAAGCAATGAATTACACTCAAAAGTATCATTTCATTAGTTTATAAATTTCTTTTTATATTTCTAATGTCTAAAAAATTAAATTATTTATTCTACAAAATTTCATAAAGGTATATAGAATAAATATATTTTTAAACTACTTATCATATATGGTTAAAGATAATTTATTTTTAAACATCAATTTAAATATCAATTTTTTGATTATTGCACTGCTGGTATTCCATATTTCTGTAAAAAAATTACTGTTTTAGTCTGACATGGCAAAACGTTTTAGTGACCCATGATGAGTCAGTGAAATATAGCTCAGCCAATCAAATTTAGCAATTTTTCAAGGGTTTTTTTTTCTATTACAATACACTTCATTATAATAACTTGAATAAAAAAATTGCAAGGTAATAAGGTAAGTGTTGTGCTGTCAATGTTTGAGCATATATAAGCTTTTGAAAGAAAACTAGGAATATTTTCAAGCAATCTGGAAGAAAACAATAAATATTCTCCATTATTAAAGAAGCACTTTTTAACTTTGTTTTTCAACTGATAGTTCAGAAGAGAGAGAAACTGTATTCAAAAAGTATTTGTCAAGAATATCAAGTATTTACTTTCAGTCAGATTTACTCAATTCCAAAAACTAGATACCACATTACAATTCATCCAATTCACACATATTATTCAATTTCATGATCTTTAGCTTTCCATGTTTGATGAGCTTGATCTAGATAACTTGAAAATGGAATTAGTAGACTGCCAAACAAATGCAGTCTGGATTACAAGAAAAGGCAGTAAAATCATTAGTCTATATAACAAAAGAAAATACCCCTTAGGAAGCAGAGCTGAGAACCTCATTTTCACAGAATGGCAGTCCTTGCCTAACTCTTTTGCTTCAATGAAAAAGTTGGCCTTAGCAATGCAGACCACTTTTGGTTCTTCCTACTCACATGAAACATTTTTCATCCATGAGCTATATAAAATCAACCACCAGGAATCATCTTGGTATGGATATGAGTGTTGCATGCGTTAAGCTGAAGACAACACAGTATGAACCTCAAATTAAAGCATTAGCAACAAGGTTTTCATTAAAAAATATTGGTAAGTATATAAGTCACCCATTTAAATTTATTAAAAATTTTAAAGTACCAAAAATGGCCTGGCTACTACAAAGTTTCACCATCTCTGACCTATGACATCACAGGCTACCCTTTTGATTTTCATTATGTTTTAGTAAAAGTGAAACATGTTGATAAACATTTCCTATTTGTTCTTTATCTTATCATTCTGCCGGATTCTAATTCATATTTGATCCCAACTCCTGTTTTAAGCAAAGGATAAGCATTACATTTACAAAATCCAGTTAATTAATCCTTAAATTTACTAATTTACTTTAAAACACATCTCAAGGACAAATATTGGATTTTTAAGAGATTTTTTTAATCTGTTGTTTACTTTTTTTTTTCTGTAATGGTGGTTTGATGAGTCAATCATTTCACCCCAAGCAAACCAATAAAGCCACTACTGATTGTGAGAGAATATATTATATATGGATTAACTTTCAAATAAAACCAAAATTTAACTTCAAAGAAGACATTTAAATTATTTAAATCTGTGGCAATACCTACTTAATGTTGAACAAATAAAGAAAAATTTTAGAAAGCAATTTTTTCAAGTGCTTTTATAACAATCATTTATATATTCCTATCCCATCAGTATTGGAAAGAGAGGTAAATCAACTTAAGTTAATAAATTTATGTGATTACTTCCCTTAGTCGTTTTAATAATCTGTATTAATAAAATATTTATCTGCATTCAGATAAAATTAGTTCCTGAGCAAAATGAACCATTTAATTAATCAGTTCTTTTACTCTTGCATTTCTTAAATTGCAATCTTATTTATTCAAGCCTTTCATGTAAGGCACTCAGAAGTGATTTATCTTGCTTGATCTTGAAATAGGTTTTGTTATCATCGTCTTTGTCATTTTGTTGCTAATCTTTTTCTCCTGAGAGATATTTTCATTTCACTGTTATATTAAACACAAAAAATTTTTAACATGAAAAGATATTAAGCAAAAAGGGATTTATATAATGCCAGGAGTAATCAATGAATCATACATACCACTGAACTTTGAATAAATACAAAAGGGAATAGATTAATGAAATGGTTCATTGGTTTCTATTTTAGTTGTGAATTCTTTATCTCTGCTTTATTGAATACATTGTTTCAAGATTTTTGTTTCATTGCATCTCCCTATTAAAACTTTCTAATAATTTCCTTCATTTTTTATGGCATAGGTACACTAGTATTTTATAATGTTAAACCAAATAAAAGAATTGCTCAGCAAAACAATCATAAACCTGTCATCTTTTACACTGGAAAGTTTTTAGTTTCAACAGGGATTATTTCAAGGAGCTTTTAAAAATATTTTCTCTCTAAAGATTTCTAAATAATTTCAAATGTACTGTCTGCAACTAATTAAAGTCTATATATATCTTTTCTGTTAAAACTGGATAGATTTGGATTGTAAAAAAGCTGTGGAAGATACCGAATCATCTCTGAGAATAATGGAAGTAATTGGTACTGAGGCAGTTGCAAGAGTTGGTGTGAGTTCTCATCCACAGCATTGGTGGTCAAGAAAGATCATAAGAAACAGAAAAATTATGGTGACTGAAGAAATTTGACATATTGAAGGGGGCAAGCATCTTGCTACTGCTGTTGGATATTGAAAGCAGAACATGACCGAGTGGGGAAAAATATCAAAGTTAAACATTTGGGTGACATCAAAGAGATAGACTCAAAGAGAATAAATTTCCTAATAAATGCAGTATGTAACCCCAAAGTGTGCAAGTTGATAAGATCTAACTGATGCAATTCATGTGGAAAGACTGCTAGCTTTAAACACATCATCACTGATTTTTGTCTGAATTTCTAGGATGAGAAGTTAACTATTTAAATTCAGACTATTGTCCTTATCTTTGTTGTTATTATCATAACATTTCAGTTGGAAGACATGATGGCTAATATGTAATAACAACAACAAAGATGAGGACAGTAATCCAAATGTAAATACTATGAATAACATCCTCACTGATTGTGTATTTTCTGAAAAACTGTACATGAAAACTGGGTGCAGAAGGTCCTTGCCATGGCTACAGAAATATGTTGCAAAAATTTTGTCAACCCAAATAAAAGTAAATTTTCATAAAAGAAGGAAACATTCCAGGAATTACTTTCATATAAAAAAAAAAGTACAGATCATTTTTTTGTTGGTTGGAAGGACTTTCATCACAGTAGATTTGTAAAATCATCTCAATTTCTCAGCATTAACTGTCTATCTTGTGATCTGGTGAGTTAATCAAGAATAAATTTATGTCACTGAGAAAAACATCTTTCTCTTGAGAAAAATATTGAACATAAACCAGAAAACTTTGGTTTGACTACCATTTATTGGGAACATGGTCCTGGAGGTAGATGATGACTTGAATAAAATAGCTGACTAAATGGAATAAGCTTAACTGACTAAAATATTGATGTAATTTTATCACAATATTTTAACAAGTACATCTCAAGCCTCATTGAACAATTGGATTTCCATAACTGAACCATTGTTACTACTTTATCTATTGTCATTTGGTTGAATATAATTGCTTACTGAAGGTGGATCTTATTTAAATTATTGTTAATTGGAGGTTTTCTTTCAGTTCATTCATTTGTCATCATAGTTATCAGCACTGTATGCATATTTATCAATTCCATTTAATCAATTGTTTTACTTCAGTTGTTGTCCTTTAGTGCCATGTGTCTAGTAAGCAGTAGTGAAATTCAAAAAATTTTTATGATTTTTATCTCTCCACTTGACCATTTATTTTGCATTTAAAGTATTTTCATCTTAGATTTCTGTAGTGATATGCAAATTATACTAATTTGCATATGAGCAGGTAGCTCATAAATGGACACCAACGAGAACGGAAGTGGAATAAGAACTTAGTGGATACACGACATAACAATGGCGTCGCCGATAGGATACTCTTTGGTCCTTGAAGACCCAGAGTACGTAGACACGTGGATTCGTTGCTTTGCTGCTAATGCGAGATGTAAAAAGTTGAAAGACAACAAAAACAGAGGAGGGGAAAATGAAATCACCGACTTGTTCATGGCTACCGCTGGTTGTGAAGCGATTATGAAGGTTGCTACAATGGTTTACCCTCGAGAACTAGAAGAAATGACTTTCGAAGAAATAAGTCAGGTTATTAAGGGAAACATGAGGCCAAAGAAAAGACTGGTGATTGCAGAAAGGACCAAGTTTATGGCAATGAAGCAGGAAGTGGATGAACCGATAGTAAAATATTTACACTGGTTAAGAAGTGCGAGTAAATACTGTGAATTCGAAAAACTAGGAACAGGCGAGCAGACAACGGAAGAAGAATTAATCCAACTAAGATTAATTGAAGGTATGCATAATTCAGCACATAGATATAAGTTAATGGAACAGTTACAACTTACAAACATGCCTTTGAATATGTGTATAGAATTTATACAACAGCAGGAATTAATACATACCTACAACCAAAATAAAAATAAATCCTGTGAAGAAACAATGGCTGAAACATATATGGTACAAACAAAAAGAAAAATTGTGCGTACTGTGGAAAAATTCATGAAATGAAAAAGAAAAAAATGCCCAGCCTTTGGAAAGACGTGTTCAAAGTGTTTAAAAAAAATCACTTCAAAGAAGTTTGTAAAACGAAAAATGTGGAAAGAGTAGAGGATGAAAATAGACAGATTTTTAATGTAAAAAGGATAATATACAAAATACTGGATCTAAGAACGGAGATACAAAAAAAAATAAAAGTGAAAATCAACGACTGTATTGTCGAAATGCAAATCGACACAGGTAGTGACGTCACGATAGTACCCAGAAATTTGTGGAAAAAAAATGGGAAAACCGTTTTTAAAAAAAACCAACGTACAACTACGTCAGTTTGATGGCTCGATTATAGCAATTATGGGTTACTTTGAAGGTTCAATAGAATTAAAAGAAAAATATGAAATAGTACCCATTATAGTTACAAATTGCCGAAAAAAACGCATGGACTACTGGGGAATGACGTGTTAAAATAAATTCAACGAAGTTGGTTAATGAGATAGAAATAGAAAAAACAGGAAAATTAAAAACTATGAAGCTAGCCTGAAATTAAAAGAAGATGTTTCCCCTCCTACTACGAAGCAAGAAAAATACCAGTGCATTTATTACCATTGGTAATAGCTAAATTGCGAAAGCTAATAAAGGAAGACTTATTAGAACCTGCCCCTCCAGGAGGAAGTAAATGGGCATCACCCATCGTGGTATTGAAAAAAAAAAGATGGTGACCTGAGAATTTGTGGAGATTATAAAATAGGGGTGAACCATAAAGTTTGTGCTGACTCGTACCCTATTCCAAATGTGGAAGTAGCTTTACATAAGCTTGCTGGAATGAAAGTATTTTCGAAGATAGACCTAAAATCAGCTTACCACCAAATACCGATAAATGAAAATTTTAAAGAAGTGACGACTATAAACACACCTATAGGCCTGTTAAGGTGGAAAAAAGAATGCCGTATGGCATAAAAACAACAAGTGCAATTTTTCAAAAAGCTATTGAAAAAGTAATAGGAAATGTTGAAAATACCATCTGTTATCAAGACGATATATGTGTTGGAGATTTAAATGAAGATGATTTAAAGAAAAAAACTGAAAATATACTGAACCGGCTGAAAGACGCTGGTATGACAATAAATACAAAAAAAGTGTGTAACCAACAGTAATGAAATATCATTTTGGGTTACTCAATATCAAAGGAAGGGATCTCTCCAGATAAAGTACTAATAGAGAAAATTCTAAAAGTTGCTACACCAAAAAATAAAAAAGAATTGGAGTCCTTCTTAGGTTTGGTAAATTTTTATAGAAAATATGTACCAAAATATAATGAGTTGACAGAGCCATTTGCTAAGTTAAAAAAAAAAAAATGAATTCATTTGGTTAGAACACCAACAGAAAGCCTTTGAAAACTTAAAACAGATTCTGGCAAAAAAAGCCAATAGTACAAATTTTTGACCCTAAGAAGGACATAACTCTAACTACTGACGCTAGTGAGCAGTCCATATCTGGTATTTTGTCACAAGATGGGCATCCCATAATGTATTTATCAAGGAGATTAACAACAACTGAACACAATTATTCGAATATAGAAAGGGAGGCACTAGCATAGAACAAGACAGTTTTTGATGGGGAAAAAATTCTTGTTGAAAAGTGATCATAGACCACTGGAATTTATTTTCAACCCAAGAAAAGAGCTACCGAAAGTTACAACGTCCAGAATATTACGTTGGGCGATTAGACTGATGGCGTTCGACTTTGACATTGAATATGTTAAAGGGAATACGATACCGCACGTTGATGCCTTATCTAGATTGAGGTTTTATAGAGAGGAGGACAAAACGACGAGGAATTTGAAGACACATTCTTGCACCTTGTAGAAACCGATGTAATATCTGTAGATAAAATGGCTACTGAAACTACAAATGACCCAGTGTTAAATAGAATAATGTCGAGGATAAAACAGAATCGCTGGGGAAATTGTTCAATGGCTGAAAGACCATTCAAAGAAATCAGACATAAAATGACTATAGAAAACGGGATAATATGTAATGGAGACTTGGTAGTTCCCCAGAAACACAGACGAGACAGGTTATAAAAAAAGTGTACACGATGACGTACATTGTGGGTGGCAGCTACGCAGAAAGAAGATTAAAATTGGAAGCCTGGTGGCCAGGGTACTCAAGAGACGTAGAAGACTACGTAAAAAGATGCAAAAAATGCACAGAACTCAGGAATTTTAAGCAAAAGAAAATACATGTATGGCCCTGAGAAGTAGAACCATGGAGCAGAGTACACATGGACCATGCCTATGTCAATGGGATAGGACTATTATTAATATTAGTAGACGCATATTCAGGTTGGCCTGAAGTGGTGAGAGTACCTGATAAAAAAGTACCACCGTAAAACAAATATTAAGAGTAATATTTTCGAGGAATGGGACACTGAGAACATTGGTGACTGATAACGCACCAGAATTTGTGGATGCTGATTTGCATGAATGGCTAAAAAAAAATAGGATGCAGACCTTACAAGACCCCTCCCTACCACCCTCAAAGTAATGGGGCAGCGGAAAGGATGGTCCAGACGGTAAAGAAGGGCATAAAAGCATGCTTGCAACAGAAGGAGGAAATCGATGCTTTCCTACCAAGATTACTATTAAGTTACAGAACAATTCCACATGCAGGCAGGCCGGAAAGTCCATCTGCCTTAATGGGCAGACAATTAAGGTCCCCTTTGACTATGTCATATGCCACAAATCAAAAGATGTGGTACAAAAGAAATAGGAATATGCAACCAGAGTCAGCCGAATTTATTATGCAGAAAGGACATAATACTGCAATATTAAATAAAGAAAATGGGAACAGTGTTCTAGCTCATGCTGACCAAATAAGATCCCAAGGAGAAGAATCTGATGAGGAAATGCCTTCAGAGATGCCCATTATTGATGTATCAGAAGAGTTAATGCAGAATGAAACTGCGGAAGGAAGAAGTAGAGGAGGGATGAGTTAGAAGAGGAAGACCAGAGTATGCAAGAGGAACAATTCGATTATAGGGAAAGACGTGATAGATCTAGATCTCCAAGGGAAAGGAGAGGGATAAAGGAAGATGTTCAGGAGGGCACAAGAAGAAGTACAAGAAGTACTCATGCATAAGGCCCCTCCGTTATAGGGAGATGTAGTGATATGCAAATTAGTATAATTTGCATATGAGCAGGTAGCTCATAAATGGACACCAACGAGAACGGAAGTGGAATAAGAACTTAGTGGATACACGACATAACAATTTCTTTTGTTTGTTTCAGATTCATCTGGATAGATATTTTTAAAATGACTGAAAAGGAAGAATCTTTGGAGCCTAGTAATGACATGATTAATATCAAAGTCCTTAAAGGAAGAAATTTTGTAAGTCATATATTCTAAATCCAACCCTGCTGCCCAAATCATTTATATATCTTTTAACTTTATTTGCAATTTTAAACAATGTCTGATTGTTTTATGAATTTATCTATTCTCAGTAAAAAAAAATCACCATTATTGTTAAATTTCAAGTTTACAAAATACAACACCTTTATAAAAAATATTTATTTCTTTGTCATTCTTCTATACTTGTCTCTGTTATTTTAAATCTTACATGATACAAGAGCATGGCTATGGAAAAGGTAATATTACTGGTTATAACAAGCATATTGCAAACTTTTCAGTAGTACAAAGAAAGTTATTTTTATCATCATTGTTAAATTCATTAAGGTAACTTGTACAAGTATAGTTAATGTATGTTGTGTGGTAGTGATTATGTTAAGTTTAGATGAATTATCATTATTTTTTGTGGTTGTTATATAAATTAAACTGTTGTATTTTTTTTAATCTGACTTGCAGAACTGAATTAAATAAATTATTATTTTAGTCAAAAAATTTGAATTATCCCATTTGACTTTGCTAAAAAAAACCTCTCTAGGAGGTACTCCTTAAGCATATATAAAGGCGAACATTTATCTCTAGTTTCTTTTCTCTCTTACAGCTTCTGGTTATAAGATGTAGTCGCATGTGGGGAAAAAGTGTCCCTTGGTGGGACACATTCATTTTCATGGTTTTCTACTTTTTCACACATGCTTGTTATATACACATACATACACACACAAACATGCATTCTTAGCTAATTTCATGTTTTTTCCTTTTCATCATATGTAATTCTTTTGTTGATACATGCATTGTTGTTTGTTTTATATTGTTTTGTATTACTTGTTTTTTTACTTGGACTCACATTGAGTCTGCAATAATTGTTGTGGGGGTAACTATTCCAGGAGACATGTTTATACCCAAAATTACGACCAGTATTCTGCAACACATTACAAATTCAAAACTTGGAGATTTACTGCTAAAGAAAAATAAACAAAAGTCTTAGTTTTTAAAAGAATTTTATGTGAAGTAAGTAAAAATCTTCTATTTGAAATTATGATTTTCTTTTAAAATGTAGACACTTTTTAAGTAAGAAATTCACACTTGAAAAATTATGACAAACAAAACAGAACTTTTGAAAAATGATTCAAACAACTTATTGTTTGTATAATTTCTCAGAAGTCACAGAAGGAAAAATTAATGAATATTACACTCTGATGTAAAGTAATTGCAAATAAAGAATCATGAAAAATTATTTTATACAACATATTAAGAACTTTGAACTGAAACAGCACCATTAACTCATAATAGTGTCACTTTGATAAATAACAGTTCCGAGCAAGGGAGTAAGGCCAGGGATAGCCTTAAAAATGGCCTTGAGTGATTTAAGTCTGTGGGTCCTGGTGAAGTTCATTTTTCTTTGAACATTGTCACAAAGAACTGTACCAAATAACAAAAACCACATCACTTGAGGACTTTCAACAGTAGCAACAACTAAAATGGATATCAAATGTAATTCAAAGATAAAATAATGACAAAATCAAGATGTGGACATTCCACACTACTTCAAATAAGAGGTTAGAAAGGAAACCCCCATCAATACTGGAAAGAGAGATAACAGCTACTGAACTTGAGAAACCTATTTTCCTAAAAAATTGTTTTAAGAGAAAGATTTTATAAATTTCAACTGAAAGTAGCAGTGGCTGCTTGGTCATTGAATGCCGAATGATTCCTGAAAAGGAAATGGCTAATATTACCATTACAGCCTAGGAGTTCATATAGAAGATAATCAATCACATAATGAAAATTAGGAAATAAAGAATTCTGAACAAAATAGTGGATTTTGTTTGAAGCTTCTTGCAGATTAATAGTAAAGATCTAAAGAAGGTCAAAAAGAGGCCAACTGAAGCATAATTATCATAAAACAAATGATGGGAATACTCATCGGAATATTTCATAACATAAAAACTACTTTGTAGTTTCTTTCTTTTCATTCCTATACATTTTTCTCAGTACAGTTTTTTTTTTCTCTATTCTAGAAAGGACCAAAAGGAGAATATCTAGGGACAGTTACTATAAAAGCTCATTTTGGAGAAAAAGCTCTTGGTGATGTTCAAAAGTTGGACTGTTCCTTTAGGACAGATATTGACCTGAAATACACAGTAGAGTTAAACTGCTCAAGTGCTGACCCAGCTACTATTGATGAGATTGCATATCGACCAGTGGTTTGTAAGTATAAAATTATATAATATATATAACTAATATACAAAGTAAGCACTACAAAAAAGTTCTCAAAATTTCATAAAATTAAATGAGTTGGGAGTAACAGATGTAAAAAAAATATTTTTACCAAGATTTTCCAGAAAAGACATGTTTAGAAAATAATTTAATTTGTGAATAAATCCTAAACGTTTAATTAAAATCCAACATTTATCTGATTTTTGCAAGAATTTTCATATCAGTGTGTTTTTCACTGCAAAAAGCTGCTCAAATTTCCCGTACTAATTTACGGTCTCACATTGATGCCAGAAAATTAGATTTTTAACTAAAAACTCTAAAAAGGATTAAAAGAATAATTTTTACATCAAAATATCCTTTGATCTTTCATCTTAATAATAACACAAAAGTTTTGACAAGAATATTTTGTTTTTATTATGTTTTTGCATTTTTTCATATTCTCTTTTTTAGCAAATTTTTTGGAAGTACCTCTATATATGTGTGTGTGTGTGTGTGTGTGTGTGTGTGTGTAGATATAGGGTGACCCAAAAAAACGGGAATTTTAGAAAGGCGTATTGCCAGACATGAGCAAGTGGCAACACTGCGATACAGTGACCTTGAGCAAGTAAACATTTTTCCATTTAGAATTCAAGATGAAATTCACAGTATCCTAGCTGAGATGTTGCAGCAGTCAATGAGGAAACTCAACAGTAGATTTCAAGAATGCATTCGTACAGGAGGACACCATCTACAGGACGTAATTTTTAAAAAATGAAAATTCCATCATTGTTTCTTAAATGGCATGTTTTAAGGTTTCAATTACTATGAATAAAATATTTTTCTTCCATCACTCTTGGTTTTATTGGATTGTTAAAAAGTTCCCGTTTTTTTGGGTCACCCTGTATAAGCAGCTTGGGCAGAGAAATCAGTACTGTATGGTGATTGTCAGTTTCATACCATAAGTAATCATCAAATCATCTATAATTTAAGGTGTGAAACTGACAGACTATCTATGCTTATATGTTTATATCTACAAATACTCTAGTTCTGATATTGAACACACTTTCCTCATAAATACAACAAATTTTAAACAATTTATATGTATACTTATATATAATTGTTTATTTGTCAAGTTTTATCACGATTTTCATAATTTTAACTTGCTGAAGGTTGTGATTGTTCTTCAATTGATATTTCACCCATGTTTGAAACTCAAATACAACTTGTACTCGCACGTTTTATCTAAAGCTTATTATTTAAAAACTTTCAACCGTAGTTTTTTCCAAAAGAAAAAGAAAACTTTACATACACTTTTCTTATTTATCAACTATCACAAAAATCACCAAATGTATTTTTAAATCACAGAAAAAAAGCTACTGAAAACAAATCAGTTGATCCAGAATCACACCATTTCAAAACAGTTTTGACTCATGACACCTAATGGCACAAATTGAAACTAGAGATTAGTTCATGACTGTGATTAAAATTCCAGGTTATATATATATATATATATATATATATGGGATTTTTTATGTTGTCATTCAACTACCCATCATATATATATATATATATATATATATATATATATATATGTGTGTGTGTGAGAGAGAGAGAATTTGCACATCTTTATCATTTTCTCTCGGTGCCTAATTATAACTGACATTCATGTTTTTATATCTTCCCTGCCTCCTACACATATATAATTCCATCAACATAAAAATTATTTTAGTCAGATGAAGTCTGCATTGTTGCGGTTTTAGCCCCTGGTAGTCATCCATGAACCCAAGAATGCCGATTTTTAAATTTTTTTCCATTCTCAGTTTATTAATGATTCTGACGTAGTTTGAGGTGTAGATGGAGAAAATAACAATTACAACCCTGTACCGGCAAGATTTATTTCTGAAGGATGAAACACATCACAAGTAAACTTTTTACACTTTGTCATATAATTTTCCCAATCTATATATGTGTATGTGTGTGTGTGTGTGTGTGTTTTAGCCTATGTGAATTCTATAGTAATCAAAGTGATGCAAAAACTTACATCATCAAAGATAAAATATAAAGTGTGCTTTATTGATTACAATAGGTTGTTCTGAAATAATGTCCAATTTTAGAATAAAACTTTTAATTGTGTTCTAATATATTATTATAATTGTTGCACAAAAATATATTACTCGTTCCTAATGATTAAAGTGCCCTTTTTATTAATTTCATAACAATCTCTTTCAGAATTTAACTTAAAACATTATATACCCCTCATCTTGAACATGAAAAAAGAAGGGATGCATTTTTGAATCACTTGAAGCTTGGTCATAATGCTTCTCAAACTGCTACCAACATTAATAGAGGATAGAGTGAAGGATCCACTTGTGATCAAACCACATAGCACTGATTTCTGAAGTTCTGCAGTGAGAGTACTAGTCTTGAAGATCAAGGTTGTAGAGGACATCCATTTGAAATTAGCAATCAACCTAAGTCAGAGAAATATCTCATAATGGCTGTCAGAATTTCAACAATATTGAACTGTCTCAAGAAAATTGATTTGGTAAAGGAACTCAATAAATGGGTTCTATATGAACTCAGTGAATGTCACATAGTTTGACATTTTGAAGTGTGTTCTGTACTGTATCTGCAAAATTCAAATGATCCATTTCTTGATTGAATCATAGTTTGTGTTGAAAAATGGATCCTTTGTGACAGTTGTAAATGATCAACTCAATGACTTGATTATGAAGAAGAACCCAAACACTTTCCAAAGCCAAAATTGCACCAACAGAAGATTATGGTGATTGTCTGGTGATCTGCAATTGGTGTTAGCTATTACAGCTTTCTGGAATCTAACTGGAGTATCACTGCTGAAGTTTATTGCTCGCAACTAAATGAAATGCATATTCAGTTAAGCAAAATGCGATCCACTCTGGTTAATCAACAAGGTCCAATTCTGCTTCATGACAATACTCGGCCACATGTTGCTAGAATGACACTGCTAAAGCTCACTGAATTGGGATGTGAGACTTTCTCACATCTAACATATTCCCTAGATCTCTTGTTCACTGACTACCATTTTTTTCAACCACCTTGACAATTGTTTTAAGCCAAAAGACATTCCATTGCAAAAAGAAATGCAGAAACTACACTCAAATGTTTGTTGGCATCCAAAGCATTAGTTTTATCATAAAGACATAAATAACCTTGTAACTCAATAGCAGAAATGTACAGATGTTCAGTGTTCCTATTTTGACTGATTTAAACACTGTTTAAATACATTAATTCCAGATTAAAAGTTGATTCTAAAATTGGACATTATTTTCCAAATAACCTATTATCTGAAAACTTTACTGACAGAAAGCAAACTCTTTTTCTCTGATTTTTTTAATGCACAATTGAGTATCAAAACTAAGACATTTTAGGTAAAAATTGCAATATTCTGTGCTTTTTTAAAACTTTTTCCCCTTCTACCAAAAATCCTTAGTTTGTGCAGAAAACAACTAAAAAAGTCTTTTTAATGTTAGAGCTGACCAAAGCAAGGCTGATGAGTGATGAAGTAATTATAAAGTCAGTGGGCAACAGAAAGAAAAGCCAAAATTTTACCTCTAAATGTTTGGATGCTGTTAATATTACAATCATGATTACTGTTTCTTTTTCCCCTTTCCTTCAGTATTTGCTGTGTCACTGTACATGCGATTATTGGAGTAAATAAAAATGTTGATGTATTTATTCAACAAATCCTGTCCATTCTATAACAAGCTGTATAAACAGTGAGGATCCTTTTGTTTTATAAGATGCCTATAGTTAAGAAATTTTTAAAAATGGATTTTATAGAGTTTAAGGACAAGTGAAAGACATAAAAGTTTTTATCATCTATTTTCCTCTCTAATAATCCAAATTTTTATCCCTTTTGAAATAAAAATATTTCCAACACAAGAAAAATAATAATGGAAAGATTATCTTTTCTTTAAGTGACATTTGCCAAAATTTTACCACGAGAAAAGAAAAAGAAAGAAGAAGAAAAGACAATAACTTTGGGCCAGTGTACAATTGATTTGTTGCCAATAATACAAGGTGAGTTTGCAAAAAAGGTTTTATTATTAATTTAGATGATCTAATCTTTAGTATGACTGGTGTAGTGAGAAGAAAAGCTAATAACATATTATATATAAAACACAGTGTGACTTTATGCATGTCCAAAACAAAATTGCTCTCTTTTAATTGTCTGCAAGAACCCTTTTTACCTCCCATAAGCATGGCAGATGTTAACCTCCGGGAGAGTTACTCATTGCACCTTTTCAGACTAATGTTTCCTGCTGGCATGAAGTGAAAAGATTATATTGAATCAATTGCTTGATCCTCTGCTAGGAAAGTTGGTTCCCTATGTTATGCTAGACAATTTTTCTCACCAGAATCTATTGTACATATTTATAAGTATACCATTTGCTTTACTTTGAATTTTGCTGTCACATCTGGTTTGGTGCTCCTGCTATATATTTAAAGATTCTTGATAAAATCCCAAGAAGAATCTGCAATGTCATTGGTCCTGACTTGGCATCTCAGCTTCTGTTACTTTCTCACTGCTCTAATTTTGCTTCCTTGTGCCTTTTGGTAATTGTTCTGATGAACTTTTCTCTATGGTACCTAGATTCTATGAATTTAAGTTCAGAACTAGATTGGCAGCAAGGGCTCATCATTTTGCATTTGTAATGGCTTGATGTAACCGCAAGTTCAATGCTAATAGTTTCTTCTATCTTACTTCTTGCTTGTGGAACTCTCTTCCCGCTTATTGCTTCCCAGTCACATTTAATCTTCAAAAAGTGTGATGTCAATCATTATCTTCTGTCTTCTTAATTCTTGTTCTTTTATTGTTCTCTCCTTAATAGTATTTTTTCCTCATGGTTTTTAACACTCAGTAACCCCTTGTGTCTTAGTGGTGGTATTGCCTTACTTGGGGTGAAATGATTTGAAAAAAATCTCAAACACCTTTATTGTGCACTGGGAAGCTTCCTTCAGGGATGTTTATTCCTGGTGTTATTTGGGGTTTGAAATCACTAAAAACATCAGAGCTTCCTCAGGCAACCTATTCAGGAGTAATCACCTTCTGGTCAGCTTCACAAACTCTTTCAGTTGAAGCTGCAAAATTTGGCCTGGGCTTATATAGAATTGAATATTTCAAACTTCAGTCAATGAATATTGACTTTACAGTTACTGTGATTTATATATTTATCAATTACTCATCCTAGTTTCAATGCTGAGTAATGAGATATTCCATTGTTATCGTAACACAAGGCATTGTTTAATGTCAGTCATAACAAATATGCTTCATGTTATCATTACAATGAAATACCTCATAACTAAATTATTAACAGTGCCTTATCTAACTTAATTTAAAATATACCAAATCTATTTAGTAGATATGATGTGTCCTAAATTATCTATCTTAGATGTGTCATTGTTGAGCAATGTCAATAAAAAGGTACTCAACCATTTTGAATTGCAAATTAGTTGATGATTTGATTTGAAGAGAGAAAGATGTCTTTTCACTGGTAGGAAAGAGACATAACTGTTGACACCTCAATCATGTGATCAAATGAGAGCAAACACACAGAAACTGACCAGTTCTCTTTTCCTTCCTTCCATAGTGGTAGAACTGCTAGAAATATGACCAAATTAACCAACTACTGGAAAATAAAAATATAGTCAAGTTTGTAGATTGTAGAAAAGATAGATAAAGGTGGAATCTCCCATCTTTGGCAAAATATACTTCAGTCTTTTTGTTTTGTCATTTTGTGTCCAATTTGTAAGGAAGCAACTTTGTGTTATACTAAGCCATCTTGGAATTACCAATGTTTTGACTCTTCAACAAAAGACATCTTCAGGATCAAGATAAAAAAAACATGGGTTGAGGAGGATTTTCAATCAGAACTAACAGAACAATCTTCTTGGCTTATCAGACCATTATTAAAGCAGAGACAACCTGTAGATGATCTTAGTGGGGATATCATCCTATTTGTTGCTGATTTGGCTGGGGCCTTACAGCCACATCATGTTGAAATGTTGGTTCCTGTATGATCACCAAAGTTAAGCAACAGCAAACCTGGTCCGTACCCAGATAGGTGAAACTTGGGAAAACCAGGTGCTGTAAGCTTGGATGTGCAAGTGGTGCAATGGATAATGGCTTGAAATTGGTAATTGGAGAGCCAAGTTCCAATTCCAGTCAGGTTTGTTATATTCACTTATGTTCAAATACCCTTGAGAAATGGTATGAATCCACCTCTTCTCTCCCCAGCTATATGTTAATCAATAAGACTTGTACCACTAAATCATTATTATCTCAAAAAAAAATTCTTACAAAATTTTAAAATCAGTATTTGGTTGGGGTTTTTGACCCTGAAGTGTCATATTTGTTGTTGTTTCAACTAGTAGAGAGCCTGACCAAGGATAGTGTCACATGGTATCTATACTGTTTTCAAATTAATTTAGTCATATGCACTAAAAAAAGAAAAGATAACTGACATTTAAAACATCATCTGAGTTGCTGTCAAAAAATAAATATAAGATTCTACCCCAAATTTTTGGTAATTTGAACAGCTCTTGCAAACTAAAGTTAATACAGACTTTTTTTAACTACTTTTTGAGAGCAGTATTCACTTACATATTATCTTACATGGAGACAATTTCAATGGAGGCAGTGGAAATTAGATGTTACAGTATGCAGTTATTTTCACCATGAAATTACCTGAACACTTGAATAGCACATTATATTTAAAATCTGACAATACCATGTTGTAATGACCAAAACTGAAACAAAGTTTGTGTCTGAATTTCTGGGATGAGAAGTTATTATTTACACCGTTAACATTCAGATTATTGTCCTCATGTTTGTTGTTGTTATCACAACATTTTGAACATTGTGCCCTTTGTGTATATTGATCCAGGTAACCTAAAGTTGTGTCTTACAATATGTTTTTATACATTTAAATATAAATTTATTTCCTTTTTATAGTGTTGAATCAGTACAGTTTTTATGCACGAGGAATTTTTCTTTTCAAAATTTTTAAACAAATTATCACAGTTTTATTGTTACATTTTCAATATTCTAGGTGATAAAAATTTTGAGATAACTCTGGAAATATTGCCTGTATCTGGGTCCCTCTGGGAAGCATTAACTCCTGACCATAGCAAGGTAAGGGAAAATATCTTCATCACTCATTGACATAATTTTGAAACAATCCAACAGTGGTTATCTTTGTTTTCAGTACAATAAAATAAAAAATGATCAGAGAGATTTATTAAGCTTATTAGCTTGATAAAGAGAGTGAAGGAAGAATATGTTACATCAATTTTTCAACTAAAGAGAGCCTGCTTGCTTTGGATCCCCTCAGTTGAAATAGTAGCTTGAAATCAAGTTTGAATAAAAACGATTGTAACTTAAAGATTTTATTAGAGGTACAAAATTTAATTAATGCAATCAAAACAAACATAATAAAAAGGAAACCGCAACTATACTAGTTGACAATATGAAAAGAAGAAAAAGCAGAAAAACAAAAATACTATAGCGTGGGTTATCGCCCCACACACATCTGAACTCAATCAGGGAAATTAAAATATTGGGCACACTGATTAAAAAAAGGGATTAGTTGCTAGATCTTAGACATACCTGTATCAATGTATTTTCTTTCTTCATGTTTGCCTTTTTTCCTTGTTGTGTACAATATTTTAATTTCATAGGTGATCATGGTTTGCCACAATTTCTTGTTTTTTGTTGCTCTAAGTAACTTTTCACACTTTACCATCCATCTTTGTCCTTGTTCTGCCATCCAGTCACATAAACTTATTAATTATGTTACTCACTGTTTCCCACTGCTTCTCTTGCTTTCATTATATCTTGTGAGTATTAGATTCTCCAAACCATCTTTTCTCATGTGTCCCAGAATTTTCAGCTGTCTCTTTCTGATTGTAAGTATAAGCTTAGGCAAACAAAGATGGCAGAATATCAGATATTAAGGTAAAATAAAAAATGAAAACTATATACAGGATGATTGAAAAGTAAGTCCCCATTTTATGTATGACATCCCCTCCCATCTAACTATAATTTTTACAAAATGGGAGAGTCCATCATACATAAAATAAGGAGTTACTTTTCAATCACCCTGTAGTTAGATTTGAGATCCTGCAACTGGTTGCTTTTCATGGCCTAATGAATATGTGTACAGGGTGGCTTCCAGAGGAATCTACAAGTTCAAATCTAACAGGAAATTAATTCTTTATTTTTGACCTACACTGATTACCAGCAGAAAAGGTTGTTTGGAGAATTGCACTAAAAATACAACAGAAATAATATAATGAAAGGCTTAAGATTTCTTCTACAAATAATAATATTTTTATAAATAACAAAAGTAAACCTATTTATCATTTTTATTGTTTCCTTCTTCTTTTCTACCAATTATACTACCAAAACTTAAAACTATCACTAATATATCTTTAGCAAAAATATAACCCCATTAGTAACCACCACTCTTCAGCAAGGAAATGTTCCAAACTGAAGATGGAGAAAGAATTCTGTCTCTGTAAATAACAATAAGCCTGAAATTGAGTTAAGATAAATATTCTTTGAATTTCTTCTATTATAATTTTTCTTTCTTTAGCCTGAAATTGACATCGATGTCAGCATTAGTCACTCACTCCTGGAAAGGTCAGAATTGACGGATTTTAATATTCTGACAATGACTGTTGAGTCACTTGTAGCGCCACCAGAATGTCTAACTTTACCTAACCACATCTATGTTGCTGCTCTCTGTGTACCACTAACAAATGAGGTAGGAACAAGTTTAATCTTGATTAATTTTATATACTCATAAAGCTCTAGTTTTTCAGCATCTCCTGTTTTTAAGCCTTGACACCTTAGTGATTTTATACCTTAAATTCCTCAAAATTTGGGAAAGCACCTTAAAAGACAAAAGGAAAACCAATGCATTTCTTCCACTGAGGAACTACATCAAGGTAAATGTTCCTCAGGGGCTGAAACATGTTAGGAAAGAAAAGTTTTCCATTTGTCTTTTATTTATATTGTCTTTACAAATATGTTTTATTTATATCTGAATTTTTGCACACACACACACACACACACACACACACACATATATATATATATATATATATATATATATAATATAAATATAAAAGTAGACATTGAAGTCAACACCCAGAGGCAACAGTCTGTTTTATGCTAAATGCAATTGTCAGGCCTGATGATTGCATTTAGCATGAAACAGCTACATGCCTATCCAGGTGCCTTACGTTACACCTATCTGAGCAGAGCTCTATTAGAACCCATTTAAGCACACAAACAAACCTACCAGACTCTATTTGAAACATACTAGTAGAAAATACAAACATAATAACCTCATCCACCTGTAAAAAAAAGATTAAAAACAATGTAAGCCTTAATAATAATAAAGAAAAAGCCAACACTTAACAATATTAACTACAAACTAGGCCACAATGTTCTAACTGTGTTTAGGAAATAAAACACCTCTATAAAACACTAAAAGCATACACATAATGCACACACTCAAACTGAAAAAATAAAATCATCCTTGATAATGGCTAAAAGTATAGCTGGAAGTGCTCAGAACTGTAGAACATTTGGACAGTTTCTACACACTCTGTGTCCAAAAAAGAAAGTTCTTGTGCGAATACAAGAAAAATTTAATAAAAAGCTTAACAATAATACCTTGTCTGTCATTTTTAATGAAACATGCCTAAATGAAAGATTGCTGCCTAAATACACAATATATATATATTCAAACAGGTTTGGTTAAATAATTTAGACATATCATGTTGACTAGTTTTTGTTGTGATCCTTTCAAGTTCACAGATTAAAGGATCACAACAAAGACTAATTGGCATGATATGTCTAAATTATTTAACCAAATCTGATTAAATGAAAATATGCTGCCTGCCTAAATATACACAATATATATATATATATATATATATATATTTCTAAGGAATTAATGGAATTTATTTATATGTGACATTATTTCTTACTACTTTAAAAATTATATTTAATGAATACATATGTTTGAGTATAGATTCAGCTTTTTTAAAAAGTGTAAATTTATGTCTACTAGAAAGTTTTCACCATCAAGCAAGGTTCAGTTGCCCTATTCAAGAAATGCAAATCTCTTGGGATCTCTCAAACCTTATATCTGTTAATTTTATTTTAGTATTTGAAAGCTTTCTATGGCTGAGCAATCTTAAGCATACTAAGCTTGATGGTAGTTTCCTTTTTAAAGGGGATGCAAGTTTAAACACTGCCAGAAGATACATTTTCTTTATTAAGACTTGAATGCACAGGCTAGTAGATGTAAATTTATACTATTTAAAAAACAAAGATGTCTGCTCAGATACATGTATCCACTAAATATAATGTTATGAACAGAGAAACAAAGAAGCATAGAAAAAGTGAAATTGTTTATTATTATATATGATGCCACTATTTAAAAGAAGAGAATCATGACATATATGAATCCTGTAAACCAAATATTAAGGGAAGTTGAAAGTTCTTTATAATTATTTTTTATCATTGCTTCTTATTATTTTCAAGAAAGAAAACTTGGCTGTGTTTGCGGGTGCCAATCTTAAACCTCCCTGTGAGAAAGAACATGTAAATAAACAGAAGAAATGGGTTAATGCTGGAAATGCACAAGGAGGTGCCTGTTATATTCCTAACAGGTAAGAAAAAAATGATGGCTTTTATTCATTTATCTTAATTCTTTAAATTTGAACTTAATTTTCAAATATTAAACAGTAACTATATATGGAATTTGTAGTTAAAAGATTTTTTTCATAAGCTTGATCTACATTATTCAAAAGAAAGTGAAATTCATCAGACAGAGTAACCATCTTCCATTGATACAAGGTTCAGTTCAAATGCCTGTATACCTACTGAAGATATATATATATATATATATATATATATAGAGAGAGAGAGAGAGAAAGACCACTATTCCTCCATAAATTTAAACAATGTATTCTCTCCCTCTCACACACATAGGCACATGGTCAAATCTAGTGTTCCAAACATGAGACACTGGTTTGAATCTTACTATACTCAATTTGTCAAGGATGTCACTTGTTAATAAACTCAGCTGATAGAGTAAATCCCAGCATGTGGCACCATTGGAAAGTGCCTGAAAGCCATACCACATGTTGACCCAAGCCTCATTATTTAAATTCAGTAGATTAAATTGCTTGGAAGTTGTCAATGGTCATGCTAGTATTTTGACTGAGTGTTTGAGTGTACTGGTTTTGTTCAAAACTGTTGATCACTTCAGATTATATGCTCTCCCAGAAACTGTAACTACAATCTGCTCAGCATAGTTGCAGTATAAATGACAGGTTGGCTTTGTGGGTGAAGGAGAAATACAAATGTCCATGAACAGGTATCTGCAACAGATAGCCACTCTAACAAAAGGCTGTACTTAAAAGTGAGTAGCCATCCATTATTAAATATGTACATTAGTGAGCCAAAGGATTATGAACAGTGACACGTGATAAAAATGATAGCTACTGTTTCTTAAAAATTATGCACATCAAATGCTGTTGTCATAGACAAGAAGAAAGATTTGAGTGTCTTTGATAAAAGCCACATTTTTATAACCAGAAGAATTGGTCAGAGCATTTTCAAAGTTACAAAGTTTGTAAAATGTTCACATTCAGTTGTTGCATGCTGTTATCAGCATTGGTCTGAGGAGAAAAAATCACAAACCGTCACTATGGCATTGGGTAGTCACAACTTATTGATGTGAGAAGTGATCCAAGGTTTTCTCATTAGTTATGAGCCAACAGAAGAGCTACTGTGGCAGAAATTGCAGATAACTTTATTCAAGATAAAGAAAGGAATGCATCACAATACACAGTATATCAATTCTTGTTCTTTATAAGGTTTTGTAGCTGTAGACCAAACAGATCACCCATGCTGAACAGTGTATATTGCTGAAAGTATATTCAGTGGGTATACAGGCATTGGAACTGGACCTTGTATTAAAGGAAGAAGGTCACCTTGTCACTCACTTTCTCTTGAAAAATATGGATGACAGGATATGTGATATGTGAACAGCAGAGTGGGCATTAATATCTTTAAGAAGGCACCATGATGCACTGTGAGAAAACAGCAAGCCAGTGAAGGAAGTTAAACAGTTTTACAATACTGCTTGGAAACGGCGTGTTCTGTTATTCATATGGAAAATAGTTTTTGCATAACACCTATGTTAACATTAATGAGAACCAAGTACATATCTTCACAGCCACACAATAGTCTTCTATGATAGTAGTGGCATCTTTCAGCAATCCAGTATGTTCTATCATATTGCACAAGTTGAATGGGAATAGTTTTCATGAATATGATGAAAAATTTGCTGTGTTATTCTAGCTACCAAAATCTCTAGATCTCAATCCTATTGAGCACATATAGGATATGTTGGAAACATATTTACTCTGTAGAATCTCCATTGGTTCATTGGATCAGCCATTTACCTTGCCTTGATTGGTTAATTATCTCATATTGGTAAGTTGTTTACCTTGTTCTAATTGGTTGACTGCTTTTTATTAATAGCTTGTTTACCTCTTATGAATTGGTTGTAAAATAAAATGTCTCCTTTTTCAGTTGGATTACAGACTGTGCCACTGATGATGAATATGGGGACTTTCGTAGCAAAGAAGACAGAGACTACAGAAAACACTCTGAACAAGAGAAGAGTCGATATGTCTGGAACATGGAGAGGAGATGTTTTCTACATCCTTCAGCAGTAAAAACGTAAGGCTTCATAACACCATGATACAAAATTTTGGCATTAAAGAAAAAAATAATAAGTGAACAAAATAATTCAAAATGATTTGGTGGGAACATTGATAGCAAATTTAGTATTTGTACACAAAAGAAAAAATATTTTCTTATTATCATCAAAATTCAGCAACTAGATTAGGCCCTGTAAAAGAAAATTACAAAATTAATATTTTGGCTTCAGTTTGGTTTAACTCTTTTTCCTTGCCACTGGGCTGCTTCACTGTCTTGTCAGAATAAAAAAGTAACATGTATTAAAGGTGTGAAAATTTCTTATTTTTGGTACTGCTCAGTATTGAATTTGGTGATATAGTAATTGTGAGTTCAATCCCTAGGCTGGGTAGTGTGTACTTGAACTGAATGGAAACAGGGTGAGCAATAACTGAGCAGTACTAAAAATAAGAAGTAGATGAGATATGCCAAGACATAGGAAGTGGAATGAGAACAATCTAACCCTGTAGATTAAATAAAGGGTTCAGTTCAATAAATAAAGGCCAGAGGGTACAATGACTGAAACATGATAGCAACAACAAAGATGAGGACAATAGTCTGTGAATGTAAATAGTGTAAGTAATTTAATTAATACACCTTCCTTCAGTTACATTATAATAAAACACCTTTCTTCAGTTATAATAAAAAATTAATAAAGATAAAAAGAAAAAACAAAAAGATTTGTTCTCATTTAATTTTTTTAATTTATTTCCTTTTGCCAGGTTTCAGAATCAAATTACAAAACAAAGATATTGGCCAGTCGAAGTGTTTCGGGTTCACATGCCATCAGGAACTAAAGGAAAAAAAGTGACCCAGGTAGTTTATTTTTCTATACATGATGAATGTCTAATTGTTAGACAAGTAAGACCATTACTGACAAGCAATGCCTGTACAGAAATTATAGTTGTGTACAGCTTCCACAACTGACACCAATGTTATATTAAGCATTTGGTAGCAAAAGAAAGGAATAATGAGGATTAGCTTTGAACAACGTTTATTGTTGACATCTTGTACAGAGATGTTGAAGGATGGGAAAATGTCCGTTTCAGTGGCCAATCATGAGAATGGCAGTCAGGTGTAAGGATAGAGCTAGGTGTTGACCTAATTCTTGTGTTGGGTCACAGGGTATGGCCAGTGTGTGTTTGCTACGCTAAAGTGACTAGTAGTTTGCTGAAGTGTTTGTGAATGTTAAGAGTCAAGAGAAGTCATGAATCTGACTTCCCAATGTGTAGGATGCAAGCGTTTGGAGTCAGGAGAAGTCATGAATCTGGTGTAAGAAGTGGGATAGTCAGTCACTTGTGGCTGGTGTTTGCTGGGGTGATTATGCTGAGATATTATCAGTGTGAAGCTTGATAGTTGAGGTAGTTAATCACGCCTGGGAGTTGTAATGGTTGTTGAGAGGTGTGGTCAAGTTGAGAGGTGGTGGTGATGGTCATGGTGATGACAGGGGCAGCAGCACCCTGCATGATGGCCAGAAGGCACCCCAGGCCACAACTGCTGGCGTGTTCTCAGAGACCTGCTTCTAAGTGGGTCTGGTATTCCCCTGGGGCATCTCTCTTTCCAGTGGGAATGATCACAATTGGCCACTGCCAGCATTTGCTTCATAGACCAAACATGATGCATGGAGCCCAATGCACAGAAAATGGCTTTTGTTACTTCTTTCTCTGCACTTGTGGCATTCACATCTGGCCAGCATATAGAATGAATCAGAAAGAATTTTTGTCTCCACTCAGTAAAATCTGAGATCTTGAAAATGGCAAGACAAATAACCAAAAGTACTTGGTCAGAAACACTTCCTGTCTATCTGTTGACCAGTATTCACTTGTGAGCAAATAAGAATTATTTTATATTACCAGTTGATATGATGTTAAAACAAAAAAAAATAATTTCTTCACTGTTTTCATTTTTCATCTTTGATTCTGTTTTAGGAAGAGGATGGTGCTCTTTCCTATCATGGAATTGCATATGTGGATGCCAGTCCATTATTATATCCTGGGGGTAAGTAATATATTCATTTAAACCAATCCTATTGATTGGTATTTGATTCAAGGTAAATATCAGGATTTGCAATGCTGATTTTTAAGTCAGGTAAAACTGTTCTCATTTGAAAGATACAAACTTTCTATTCCACTTACCATCTATTCAGACTTTGTAGGGAATGATAAAATACTTGATTTAATATCTGTTTAAAAAAAGACAGCATTATTTTCTTATTGATAGTCATTAAAATAATAATTTTTTTGTAAATTTATAGTAAGTTTAGTAAATAGCTATATGAGAGAAAATCCTGAATGTGATTAAGATAACTAGATGTTCTGAATAACTTCAGTTTTTCAAGGTATTATTATTGAAATGTGCACTGCATTTGTTTCATTAGAGATAAATAAATGTGGTGGGGAATATAAATTTAAATAAGAGAATTGTTTTTAAAAAAGCTTTTTGTGTGAACCACCAAAAAACACATGCCTTTAATTGTCATGATCAAATTTTCATTTGTTTAAATTAAATATACTCAACACTATTTTATTTCATCAATAATCTTGTTTTCTTGAAAAAACTTGTTTTTCAGTTCAAACAATCCGAGGGGCATACAAGATTACTCCATTTTCAGAGACTTCACTTCAAGAAAAGGTAAAACACAGACATACTCAGTCACTGATTGATTGCTATAATTCATTTTATAGTTATTCAAATATTTAAAATTATTTTCACTCCTTTTGGATGGATATTATTGGTAAAAATATTTTTAGCTTCATTCAGCTCAGTGCAAGTCCTTCTTGAAAACTGTATTGCGATGTATTTCATTCAGAATGAAAGTAACTGGTTCAGTGATGAAATCAATCCCATAAAAAAGAAAACTAAAATAAATGCCAGTTACAGTTTACATCAAAATGTTAAAGATACAGAGATGCTCAACATTTATATTTAAATTTTGATGTTTTTATCTAAATTTTAAACTTTTTTGAGAAAAGGAGATATGTTTGTATGATCCTGTATGTTAGTTTGCTGTAGCAGATTCTGAAATTAAGGCACTTTCAATGCATCTTCACCTTAATAAATTTCTTTCTTTTAATCAAAAACTGAAAATTTCTGCCCTACTCAAACATCAGATTTTTTGGTGGATAAGCATTTCTTGGTTGGGTTGAGAACATTTCATCATTCCCTCATATATATATATATATATATATATATATATATATATGTGTGTGTGTGCGCGTGTGTGCATGTGTGTGAGAAAGAGAATATAATAATTATTTTTGTATTTATAATATTTATTATATACAAATATATTATTATCAGAAATCATTACTATTGTTATACACTAATTTACTTAGTCTTGGTTGCTACTGTGATAATGTTTTGGCTCTTCAGTTATCTGTTATAGCTGGTAACATTCCAGGAATATTGAACTGGATGTAGTGTATTCAGGATCAGATTATGCTCTAGGCTAGTATAGGCTGCAACCTAGAGCCCCTCAAATTTTTATAAAGTAATAATTTCTAGATGTTATAACTTATAGATATTTTCATAAACTCATATTTTTGACTTTGCATTGTGTTTCAAGTAGATAACATGTTTGATTTTAGGTCAGAATGTTTAAATTTTAGAAATTTTTATAAAGCAGTGATTTTAATTTTCTAGATTTTATATCTTCTAAATAGTTTCATCAACTGAAATGATATCAATATAAAAAAACTTATATTTATTTTGATTGTTTTATTGTTATAATGCTGGTTATAAAAATATTTTTTTACTATGATTGTGTTGAAATATATGCTAATTTGATTTGCAATAAATAGTAAAATAATGGTATTTCTTAAAGAATATTTTTATTGACAAACAAAAGATAGCTATTCTAGTTTATTTAAAGAATTTGTTATAAGTTTCCTTCAAGCTATGTAAATGTCTCTAAAATATATCACAAGTAAAATATATTAAGAATAGGTGAGGGTGTGTTAGAGGATGGTACTGTATGAGGTAGGCCCCATAATTTCATTAGCTTAGGGATTTCAAAAGGTCATAATCTGGCTCTGGGTGTATTGTTCTTATTTCACTGTTCATTTTAGGGGATATCTATATAGTTGATTTGTCCTTGTGATTTCATCTTATCTCTTCCACTGAAACAGAGTCTATAACTTTTTTGCACTATTTCTGTTGCTTTGAATATCTCCAAGGTTTGGTATGCTGGTCTTCTTCACGAGTGGAAAGGTTATAGCATTTCTGAACAAATATTTGATCTGATTCAATCTTTCTTATCAAATCATGAAATGAAATTTGTCTTGAATGGCCACTCTTCTAGATCTTTTCACATCAATTTGGGTGTGCCTATGTTGCTCCTAATTTTCATCAATGACCTTAGTGTTATCAGTTCTCAACTGTGTATCTATACTGATGCCACTATTTACTCCTGTCTTAACAGTAAGTCTGATTGGTTAGATAACACCAAATTGGCAGCTGATATAAAAAAAAATGACCTACAATCTGTTTTTTAACTGGGACAAGAAATGGCTTGTTAATTTTAACACCTCCAAAATGAAACTGCTCTCTTTTAATTGTCTCAGAGAACCTTTTTTACCTTCCAGGCAAGTGACTCATTGCATCTTCTGGGACTAATGTTTTCTGCTGACATTGAATCAATCGCTAGGTCTACTGCTAGGAAAGTTGGTTCACTGTGTCGTGCTAGACAATTTTTCTTGCAGGAATCTATCTTAAACATGCATTGATATTGCTGTCACATCTGGTCTTGTGCTTCTGCTATATATTTAGAGATTCTTGATAAGATCCATAGAAGAATCTGCCATGTTATCAGTCTTGACCTGGCACTTTGGATTCTTGGCACTCACTTTTTTGCCACTTTAACATAGCTTCCCTATATGTTGCAGCCTATAGCTCTTTCTATAAATATTTTCATGGTAAATGAAGCACAGTACTAGATTAGCAGTTGGGTCTCATCATTTTACTGTTGAAATTGGTAGATGTAACAGTAATTGCTATGCTAATAGTTTCTTCTCTCACACTTCTTGCTTGTGGAACTCTCTTCTTGCCTCTTTCTTTCCAGTCAATTTTGATCTTCAAAAATTTAAATGCAATGTCAATTTTTATCTTCTGCCTTCCTAATTTCTGTTCTTTTATTGTTCTCCCTCCTTAATTATTTTTCTCATATTCTTTCACACACAGTAATTTTTACAACTTAGTGGCTTTATTCCTTTGATCAGGATGAAATGATTAAAAAAAACACTACCCAAGCTAGGAATTTAATCCATAACCACTATATTCACTCAACCAGTGATTTTATTCACTTGGCTATGTGTCCTGTAAAACAATTCAGTAATGGAAACTTGGAGCCTAATGAACTAGAACTATACTGAACTGAACTAGAGTATATTAGTTTTACACTCCCCATAATGTAATAAGATGGTGGCGTATTTGAGTTTTAGTCTTAATATTCTTTCTTTTAAAGTAAAGGCTCCTATATTGTTTAATATATTTAATATTATGTTCTAAGGACACATTGATAACAAAGGGAACCATTTATTGTGATTAATTTTGGACATTTTTTATTAACTGGCTGATAATATTAAGCAAAGGATATATAAAATTGGAACAATTTACATTCATTGCTATAAGTTCATTGTTGTGTCATTAATTTCATTGTTATAAACAACTTTATACCCTAAAATGTTAATAAATGATTTATTGATTGGAAATTATTTTTTTAATATATTTTAATTTCATTTTCAAGAAAGGGTTTGAGAATGATTTTGATGACAATAACCATTTGGTTATATTATCTTTAAGTATAATACATTAGTTGCCATAAAATTAAAATCAGATATTTTATATCATTCTCCAGCAAAAACCAAAAGAAGAATTTAGTATTTAGCTCTAAAACATGCAAATTCAAACAAACCAGTCTCTTACTTTCTAATGTATTTTTCTCTTCTTTTTTATTTTAATTTTCTCTGTTCAGTTAAAATGGGATCTGACAAAACAGAATTGCCCAGATCAAAGAGCTTAAAATCTATTTTTAACCCAGATGATCTTAATTTTTTTAACCATTTTTCTCAGACTGGATGCACAGTTGGAATTTCAGAAGAAGCAACTAAAGCAGCTATCAGCATTTATACTCAAAGTGGTCAATCTCCTGCCCAACGAAAAAACAAAGAGGAACGAAAAGATGTCAAAAAGGTCAATTTATAAAAGTTTTTTTTTTCATTAGGTACTTCATTCTGGCAGCAATATTAACACTGAATGCTCAAATTCAAATGCTCTTGTCATAATCTCATAAATATAGTTCCATCTGATACAAGGTCACAAGCATGAGGCACCCAGTGAGGACCAAACTTACTTCTGTATAGTTTAGCTTACTAATCTTTATTCTACAGCAAAGCACTATGACTGATATTAATTTTGTCGGATACAAGACCATATGTATGGCATACTCAGTGAGGATTGATAATAGTAATAATAGTCTACAGTAATGGTTCTCAACCTTTTTTGCTCAATGCACCCTTTTCCCTATAAGTCAGAATGTCATTCCCCCACTTTCCAAAACTTTCTGACTTAAAAGGTGTATTCTAAATAATATGCATATATTATTAAAAATCTGCATTCTTTTCCACATTACTACATATACATTTACATGGATTATTTTTATAGAGGAGTTTAACAAATTTAATAGCAATAGAAAATGTTAATTAATTTTTAAACTGGAATACAGCTGCAGTAATTTGTTTTAATTCATAACTAATTATTAAATAAATAAAATGAAGCATTCTTCAATAAACAAAAAGTTCAATAGAATGCCAGGGTGTTGTAATTCAGTAAACAAAATTCTGTAAATAAAAAACAAGAAAAAGTAAAATATCCCCTCAATGAAACCCTGAAATTCCTCCTGTGGAGGATTCTCCCCTGGTTCAGAACCTCTGATCTACAGGATCTGTGGGTAGCATGCTGATTGTTAGCGGAGAAAGTGGAATCGGCACACCATTCAAATTCTAGTCACATTCAGTTTTGCACTGATCTTGGGAAATGGATGAATACTCCAAGTTCTGGATTAAATAGCAAAGTAGACAAGTCTCTCTTGTCTTCAGTGGCAACCAATCTAGGAGACAGGCTTTCTGAATTCAAATGCACAGTTCACAGATATTTATTAAAAAAAAAATGTAGAGATCCACAATCACCTATTTCCTGAAGGGACATGGCATTATAAAAAAAATGTCCAACAAGATGAATTTACTTAACATTAATCCGTGGGGATGTGTCCTAAACTCTCCATAAATAGATTTAAAATATAGTTGTAGCCAATGTAGATAGTTTGCATGTATTGTCAGCATGGCTGAGTTGGTAAACTGTTTTTGGTTGTGAATTTAAATCCAACTTTTATCTTTCTTTTTTCATGTTTGAGCATTTCAATGTGGAATAATAAGTTAAGAAGCTTGCCTCATAGACTATGATTATAGTTTGATTCTCACTCATTGCCTCAAACATGTGTCCTTTTATTAAACTCAATAAATATTTAAAGAACAAGGGATTTTCAGAATAAAGGTGTCTTAAAATGGTGCAATGGTTAGTAAACTAATTTCAGAAAACTTTATTATAGTGAGTTTGATCCTCACTGGGGGCTCCACGCTTATGTCTTTGTACCAGACTAACTTTAATAAATACCATTTTTTTATCTGCTTTTGATCAATGCCTAGAAAGACCTGAATAATATTGAATCACTCAGAAGCAAAGTTACCTCAAGAATCATGCTTGTAGGTAGTTCATATTTATATTCAACTTGTTTACACATACTGTCAGAAAATGACAGATATATTTAAGTAATTTTGCAATTGCATTAGTTATATTTTCTACAAGAGTAATCTAACATGTTTTATCTATAGAAATAACTCTATTGCCTTATGTAAGGAATAATTTGACTTTTTAAATTAGTAAAAGTAGCCAAAGAATATTTATATAACCTATACCATCCAAAAATAAGAGAATTATTTAAATAATTTTGCTATTGCATTGGTGATATTTTATGCATAGGTTATCTTAATCTGCTTTTAACATTCTTGAAAGTAAAAATATCCAAATAAAGATAATGTGAAACAAAACAATGTATTAGCAGGCTGATCTCTCTTACTTACTAATGAGATATTCCAAGATATTAATTTATGTTCTTAAAATGAACCATTTTCATTAATTAATGTTGAATAATTACCATAACAAAATTAAAGCTCGTTATCTCAATGTTTTGGACTGTCAACATTTTTTTTTTTTCTCAATTTTACAAATAACAGGAGAGTTAAGCTTTGTTAGTTTGCAATCTTGAATATTGATATTGATGCAAACCTTTCAGTTAATGATTTGATGTTTTTACTATTAGAATACCAAACCAGGAGGCCTGGAAGTGTATTCAGAGTTAGAATTGAGTGTTGTCAACACTGAAGGTCAGCAGTATGTAGAAGCCAGGTCATACATTATGTTGGAGATGACTTTGAAACAACCCTTGATTCCAAAAAGAACTTTGAAAGAATTATCAGAATGGTAGCTTTTCTTACATCTTTTTGTGTTCATTTATTGAAGAATTAATCATATTGCCTTGACATAATTGAGTGTAACAGAAGAGTTTCAATATAAAATAATGGAAAATATTTTAATTTTTTTCATCTAGTAATTAATTGCTCCTTAAATAGTTCAATTTTAGATGGAAATATGATCATGTAAAACATGAAAGCATAAAAGACTAAGAAATTAAGTTAATAAAACGATGTATATATTGATCATAGATGCAGAAGGAAAACTGCAAGAACTAGAAAAAATTATAAAAGAAAGTGAGAAGAAAGGATTAACTATTAAAGAAATATATAGGGTGCTTGATAGTTTTCCTGCAACATTGGCTTCACACAAAAAAATTGCAAAAAAAATGAAAAAATTGGATTTTTCATACTACTTAAAATAAAAACTTGAATAACTTTCTCATTTTTTATCTGATTTCTTCAAACATGTTGCAAAAAATTTGCCATCATGCAAGAAATAAGATAGTGTGGTTTTAGTCCTGCTCACTTCCCTGTGTATGACGAAAACCACAAAAGACTGTTTAAAGACCTATTTTTCAGCCATAATTCCCTAGTTTTTCATCTGATGCTGTCCAAATTTGCCATATAAATTACATATGACACACAAATTGTTTTGCATGAATGTTTGGTTTAGATTATTTTAGTTAAGTGGATGAAATCTGCAACAAACTAGGTCAAAAATCAGCTTTTGCTATTTAACCACTAGTTTCTTCATATGATTCCATCTTAAATTGGCATTCGAACAACCATTGATCCAAAGATTGTTTGAGAAGGATTATTGAAGCATTAAAAGGGAAAAATTTCCAAAGGACCTCTTATTAACTCCAGCTTCACAGTAAACATGTGAAGAAGGAGGTGGGGGGCAATCATACGTTTGCACTTGCAGTTGAATCAAGCTCTGATGCTTCATCCCTGTTTTTGTTTGATTATTATGCCATCCTATTTGAAAGTTATTATGGCCTCAGGAAGTTTACTGAATATCTAAAACATTGAAACAATTTAACCCCAAGCAACGACCACACTTTATTAAGAACAATCAAACACTTGTGAAGGATATACCATAAAAAAGATGATGGGGGTGAGTAGCTTAGTATACAAATACATGATGCATGCAAGCGGGGATGCAGACAGACATTTCTAGACAAAGGGGTGTGGGTATACAGGGGGTGCGGTTATACAATTGCAGCCATGTACATCTGGACAATGCAGGGTACCTCAGCTAGTACACCAATGAAATATGGTATGATGAGAACCAAAAGCAAGGTCTGCTTTGTGATTGAAATAGTTATAAATTTTAATTGAATGCAAAAGTTATTTTTTGAGCCTAAGGAAAAGAGGATTTTAAATGCTGATTTTCTAGGCAGTCAAGACTACCTCCTTGGAAAACTGGTGCAATATTATCTTTTCTGCATCTATTTTGGTTTTGAGATATACTAAGTTTAGTAAATATCAAGTGCTGTAAAACAGAATCAAAATAACATTCTCAAAACACAATGACAATTTCAATTAAATCACCTTTTCTTCACTATTTTTTAATAGAATTATTAACTATATCCTTTATCACATCCAAATTAGCTGATTCAGCATAATAAACTGTTGTAGAGTGGTTTCACAGTGGAGGCATGTATTTGTACTAAGTCGGTCCTAAAATAGGTTCGACGTACAAAATGTTAGGAACTTGATATAATAGGTAATGACGCAGTAATCTAGTTGTGGTGGCTGATACTTTAATATCCGACTAACGGTCGTCCGACATCGACTGACTGACCAACTCCCTGAGCGACTGCTACTACTCCTACTTATTATAGGTGGGAGAGTCTATTAACTATAGAATAGGTGTGTTCCACTATAACATAAACTTAAAGTTACTTTTTAACAAATTGGGATCAGTATTTTTTTCTGAAATAAATGTTGCTACCAGCTCAGGTTTGTAGACTGGTATATAAGGTTTTGTGTTGATGTAGAAACTTTTTTAAGTCAATCTGATAAACAAAATCAGTAACAGGCAACCCTCCAAGACACACAGATGAAACATACAATAAAGAAAGGTCAAATAAAATGTCAGCTCAAATTCTGTGATAAGAATACGATTCAGAACAATTCATGGAATGGCAGTTACATCTTATCATTTCAGATAATATTTTCTGTCTGAATTTCTGGATTGAGGTGTTATTTTTATTTATATTATTTACATGCAAACTATTGTCCTCAATCTTTATTCTTGTTATCACAACATTCAGCTGTTGTACTCTCTGGCCTTCATCAGGTGTATGCCAATCCAGGTAACCTACAAAGGTTAATAATAAAGGGTTCAGTTTGAAATTCCATGTAGGTTACCCAAATCAACATACATCAGATAATATTATGTGTTGGTATTTATCTTCTTTGTCTCTATTTTAATTTAAACGTGATATCCATAACATATCTTTACAACATTTTTACAATGATATTATGAAAGTTTAACTTTAATAATTGTAGTGTACCACCCACTGATACCAACATAATGTATATATCTTTGTATGGACATCTTATAAATATCAACCAAATTTTCACAATATTCAGATAGATTTACTCTAGTTTAACTCTCTATCTCTATTGCAGTGTCGCTTCATATATTCCACCACGACCATTGTTCCCTAAAAGAGTTGGAGGAGCTGAAAGGGTAAGTTAACATAAATAGTTAAGATTGTCAGAGTTAACTTCTCCTTAATTTCCTAATTGTCCAAATTCTTCCTAGGGAACGCTCTCCCAGCACTATAAAAACTTGGCGACTTCTTCCTTTGCCCTCTTTTTCACTTCTCATATTTTAGCAAACACTACGACAATGTAGGCTCTCGCAGAAGATTGCGTTTTCCCCTTTGCAGGGCGCACTACACATTTCCTTTGGAAAACACATCATGTGTATGAGTGCTTGTGCTGACTCTTAGTAGTAGGCATCCATTTATCTTGTCAGATAATGATAATGCCCTGTTTGGTCAAAATTCAGTCCTTTTGTGAGCAGTGTCTAGTGTGACTTAACAGTCCAATCTTTGCAAGGCAGCCTCTTCTTCAGGTGTGGCTTCCTGCATTGTCTTTAATAGTTAGTTTTGCTTTATCCTGCCCTTCATGATTCCTCCTTGAAGCATGGCACCAGCCAGTGTAATCATCTGATAGTTGTTCCCAGCTACCAGAATCAATGCCTGTGATTAATAGACACCCTTGAAATGTAGTGCAAGTCAGTCTACCAGATGGTGTCCCATAGCCAGCTCACTGTACATGATGTCTTTTGGTATACAGTCATCATTTATTTAATGTACATGATCCAGCCATCGAATACAACATTGACAGAGAAAATGCATGTGGCAAGAGCCTGCTTGCTCTAGCACAAGAGTGTTTGTAGCTTTGTCTCTCTATGTGATGCTGAAGGTGGCGGAAATGGAAATTTTCCAGGTGGTATTCCTGTCCTTATCAAGTGTAAAAATAGGTATGACAACGTTTTACAGTTATTAATCTTTAGATGTTAATTATGGGAGAGTGGCTTGCAAAAGTAATTTGCTTGCTCTCTTTTTCCCTTAATCATTGTGGCATATCAGCATATACAAGACATTTTTGCCAACATATTTGAGAACAGAACAGAGCACAAGTTTTGTGGATTCATATCTCTCCTATGGGAATTTGGGTTAAGTGCATATAAGTAACCTCAGTGGAATTTGAACTCAGTTTACTGATTTTGTTTTATGCTAATATTTAAAGCTTCCACATGAAACATTGTTAATTATTATTAATTTTTCACTAGTATTTCTTTCATTTTATTTCTATTACTTTTTCATGCACTTGTAATATTAGATGTAATATCATATGAATGACTTTAAGCATCTTATTTGACTTACTTTTTAATTATAATAGAAATATTAGTTACAGTAACATGTGAAGCTTTTAGATGAAATGTGGTTAAATATTCATTTTTGATTAGTATTTTTTCATGTTAATTTTGCTGCTTTTTATTGCAATTCCCAGATCATCATTCTGTGCTCATTAAGTAAGCTTTACAGATCAAAAATTTAAAAAAAATATGAGTCTCTAGTAAGATTTTATCTTTCATCTGTTATCCTTTCAAGCTTGTCTTTCAGTGGCAGCATCTTACCACTAAGGCTAACTCACACCTTGTATATATATATATATATATATATATATATATATATATATAATATGTGAAAATATATAGAAAATAGGAAGGAACTGGTTAGGTAAATAGTCCAAAGTTCCTTAGTATTTTTGTTATTATTTTTAAAAAATAGTGCTCGATACAAAAAGTAGAGCATAAATATAATTATTTATTTAAAATATGATTCCAAATCGCTACATAAGAGGTCTCATGTTTCAAAACAAGAGCCGAAAACTTCAATATAATCCTTTAAATTAAATTGAGTTGAAATTAAAAAGGCTCCGTTCCATCTTTCAAGCGAGTTTTTTGTTGGAATAACGATATCTGAAATTTACTTGTTTTAAAGTTGAAATCAAAATCACCATGGTAACAGTTAGAAGGAATTGTCTAAAATGGGTAGGCGAGTGTAGGGTGTTAATGATGAGTGGCGGTATAGAGATACTTTCAAGGTGTCAAGTCGGGGGAAGGTGGGGGTGTTAAAAAAGAAACGAAGATGTATTAAGCTTTCGTCAAGTTGGCTTGTCTATGGAGATATATTTATTTATTTTATTTTATTTTATTATGAAAGGGAATTGTGCTTATAAAAAGAAAAGAAAAACTTTTGTGGCGTTTGTTTTTTGACGACTTCATAAAGGGTTATCTTTTAGGTAAGGTATTTAAACTACTAATTTGGGCTATGTATTATGAAGGCTGTTATGTTGTATGCAAGTTTGTAGTTAATAATTTCTACTATGAATCTGATGATTGGGTTATTTGTTAAACAAGTTATATAATTTTTTTTTTTTTTTTTTTTTTTTTTTTAACTGTCTCTTCTAATTTGAAAAGGGTTAACTTCCCGACGTAACTCTAGACTTACCAGACAATACATACCAACCTTATAGAAAACCAAATGCTAACCCTTTATACATACAATTCAAGTCAAACCATCCTCCATCAATAATTAAACATATACCCTCATCAATAGAAAATAGAATTAGCCTTAACTCCACAAACAGGGAAATATTCCAAAACATAATAGCTTCTACAACACTGCCTAAAAAAAATAGTGGTTATAAAAATGCTAACATTAACTACAGAGAAAATTGCACCGGACATGGGAAAAAAAAAAAAACAGGAAAAGAAATATCATATGGTACACCCCTCCGTTCAACCAAAGGGTTAGTATTAAACTAGGACAGAAATTTTAGCTCTAATTAATAAACACTTCCCCACCAATAGTAAGCTTAGTAATATATTCAATAAGAACACCCTAAAATTGAGCTACAGCTGCTCTGATAATCTTGAACGCATAATAAAAAAAAACAATAATAAGATCTTGAACAAACCCCCATGCCAAAAACAGTATTAATAAAAACTCTACACTTAAATCAGACGATAAAAGGGAAAAATTATGTAACTGTAGAAACCCAGAAGACTGCCCATTAGAAAATAAATGTTGTATTAACTCTGTGGTATACCAATGCACTATTTCATCCACAGAGAGCCCTAGCACTAATATGATATACATTGGGTCCACGAAGAATAATTTTAAAGATAGATGGAGGCAGCATAAGTGCTCCTTTAATAATATAAACAAAAGAAACCAGACTTCACTATCAAAATATTTTTGGCACTTGAAGGAAACAAATAAGACACCAAAAGTTAAATGGAAAATCATTAACAAGGCTAGAACATGTAAGGCTTGGGATGACCCATGCCCTTTGTTTAACAAATAACCCAATCATCAGATTCATAGTAGAAATTATTAACTACAAACTTGCATACAACATAACAGCCTTCATAATACATAGCCCAAATTAGTAGTTTAAATACCTTACCTAAAAGATAACCCTTTATGAAGTCGTCAAAAAACAAACGCCACGAAAGTTTTTCTTTTCTTTTTATAAGCACAATTCCCTTTCATAATAAAATAAAATAAAATAAATAAATATATCTCCATAGACAAGCCAACTTGACGAAAGCTTAATACATCTTCGTTTTTTTTTAACACCCCCCACCTTCCCCGACTTGACACCTTGAAAGTATCTCTATACCGCCACTCATCATTAACACCCTACACTCGCCTACCCATTTTAGACAATTCGCCCTAACTGTTACCATGGTGATTTTGATTTCAACTTTTAAAACAAGTAAATTTCAGATATACGTTATTCCAACAAAAAACTCGCTTGAAGATGGAACGGAGCCCTTTTTAATTTCAACTCAATTTAATTTAAAGGATTATATTGAAGTTTTCGGCTCTTGTTTTGAAACATGAGACCTCTTATGTAGCGATTTGGAATCATATTTTTAAATAAATAATTATATATATATATATATATATATATATATATATATATATATATATATATATAGGGGGATAGTGAAAAGTTATCAGCCAAACCCACAGCCCTAATATATACAGTGCTATGCAAAAGTAAGTGAACCCCTAAGCTAATATTTAAAATAATTGTCCCTTTTTTTCAGATAATCAACAAATTTTAATTAAACCATATATTAAGAAAAACTTTTATATAATTTCCTGAAGCTTTAAAAAATCACATAGTTGAAACCTATAATGATGGGGAAGGCTACAAAAAGCTATCAAAATGATTTGGAGTGCACTTATCCACTGTGCAACAAATTATTTATAAATGAAAGACCTTTGGTATGACGGCAAGAAGTGGCCATCCATGGAAAATAACAGCAAGAGCAAGTAGACATCTAGTTCAGCCAGCCTAGGCAAATCCTGCTGTGGCCTTTACAGTTCTCAAACGCTCTTTGGCCAATGTCAATGTGTGTACATCTACAGTGCAATGAAATCTGAGCAATGCTGATCTTCATGGCAGAATGCCTAGAAAAAGCTACTGCTTATGAAATAGCACAAGCATGCTCACCTCAACTATGCCATAGTTCATATTAATAATCTAGAAACATTTTGGCAAAACTTTTTATGGCCGAACTAGAGCTTTTTAGAAGGAATTTTGGGTGATATATCTGGTGAACTCCTAATACAGGTTTTGAAGAGAATAATTTGATATTAACCATTAAACATGGTGGTGACAACATTATGATTTGGAGGTGCTTTGCTGCAGCTGGAACAGGCAAAATAATACACATTGACAGCTGAATGGACTCTGCAAGATACAAAGCAATTGTGAATGAATGTGTCCTGTCCTCAGTTCAAGAGTTGGGTTTAGGTTGAGGCTGGAACTTCCAACAGGATAAGGATCTGAAGCAAATCCACAACAGAATGGATCTGTAAAAAGAAATTTCAAGTCTTGGAATGGTCTAGTCAAAGTCCTGATCTAAATCCAATTGAAAATCTATGATTCAAGTGAAAGAAGGCAGTGCATACAAGAAACCCAGGTAATATCAAGCAATTGTGGGAGTTTTGCCAAGTAGAATGGTCAAAAATCAGGCACCCACTACTGCCAGAAACTTCTTAAAAATTATAGAAAAAGACTGGTTGACATTATAACCTCAAAAGGAGCAGTCACCAAATATTAAATGTAAGGGTTCATTTACTTTTGCACATCTTAATTTTTAATTTTGAACTAATATTTTTATTCCAGCTTGAATTTTGAAAGTGGTTGTAAATGATTTAATAAAGGTTTTGAAAGTGGTTGTAATTGATTTAATAAAGGTTTTCTTAATGAATATATAGTTTAATTAAGATTTGTTGATTATCTAGAAAAAAGAGACAATTATTTAAATATTATCTTAGGGGTTCACTTACTTTTGTACAGCACTGTATGCTCATAAAAATGCAACACTGACCCTATATTAGTTAAAACATTTTTTCTGTATTAATTAATCTTTATTTATATTATTCGGACTATTGTCCTCATCTTTGTCGCCATATTTATTACAACGTTTCGACAGATAATTAATCTTTTTTTAAATGTTTTTAGGCTGTTTCTGATTTTCACAAACAAGTTGAATGTGTATCAAGAATGGTTCTGGAGCAGTTCAGGTAAATCAAACTTTAAAAAAATAAGCAAGTGATAAAGACTATAGAAGTGAAGCTGACAAAACAAGTTTGATTATGACTTTATGTAATTATTAGAATGGATTGAGGCCCACAACACTTAGTATATATCAGTGGTTCACTAACATAGTCATAACCAAAATGAGTGTTGTCAAGATTATCCTCATTTAGAAAAAAATACAAAAGTTTTAACAGTAAAAAATAGTACAAATATATTTACATCACAATTTTAGTGCTGAAAAGTTCTAAGCCTGAGCCATGTCCCAAAATCTGCTCAAATGTCCAGACATTAGAATATTTTTGAAATCCCTTAAGTAAAGAACTTTTCAGCACTCCCTCATAAAAAATCATTGAGTCTGAAACAGGAAAATAGTTTTGAATAATAAAGCATTGATAATGGAAGCTGACACACCATGAATATGGAAACTGACACACTGAATAGTGTGATGAATATACTGTTAGTCTCAATATCACCACTAATGACCAGCTTAGCTGAATGTTTTGTATTTAAGAGCACAGGCAGGCTCCATACTGGGGTTTTGAAAATGTCTTCACCAGTCTTTTTGATTTTTGATCTCATCTATTTATAAAACTTAATTTTGACATTATATTTTCAGTTTTCTTGAATGTGTTTTCTAATAATTGACAGTTCTCTTGTTAGTACCATGTTTCCTTTAAATTAGCTCAGCCCAACAGCTTTTTAATGTTTACATATTTAAACTTGGGCTGTGATTCATTTTAGAATTGCAAATTACAAAATGATTCTATAATCTTTTCCTCAACATTGAGTGACAACTCCAGCCGCACTTTTTATTTTGCAGCAACTAAACAAATCATGGCTCTTAAATAAAAATTGTTTTCTATCATATCCTTGGCTTTAAAATAAATTCAATGTCACTGATAGCATTTGCAAGTTGTTTGTTTTATTTTTTTTTGTGATTTAATAAACATTTCTTATTTCATTTCTTCTTTTGTTTAAAATTTAGGCCTAAAATTTTTTTCTTCCAAAAAAGGTAAAATTTTTAAAAAGTTAAATTAAAAATGTTAATTATCATATCTGAAAATTATTGTAAAAATTATTGTTGGAAACAATGTTATTACAACTTAATATAATGATATTAGTCTTGATCCTTGTTTTTTGTTTTTTCTATTTTCTTTTTAATTAGAAATTAATTATTCTTGCAATTTTCTAGACAATTATTCCAAGAAGAATTATCCAGTGACCAAGAACCAAACCCCACTGTAATGGAAGAAAGGTAAGAAAAAAGCAAGCAAAACTGAGAAATTTCAATTCATGCAAATGTAGATTATATGTTCTTCTCCATATACAGTGATGAGCAGAAGAAACGAGACACTTAGGAAAAATTTAATTTGCTTAATTTTTACTAAGAATCTTAAGTATTTGTCAATGTACTTTCAGGAGTAGTGTCTGTAGTTATTCAAAACTATAATGCAAATTATCATATTCATGTGAATACTATTGTGGCAGTCTCTATGTGGATGTTACCAAAGTATGGGTTAATAGTTTACAGGTGGTTATCTTCAGATAAATGTCCTTAATCCAAATATACACCAATTTTTGGCCTTTTAAAATGCATGCAATGATAATTAATACAAAGATATATATTGCATGCACTGATAAAAATTTATATCTCTTAAAATAAAATATACAATATTCAGAGTTCATAAGTTCCTTTCAGAAAGCTCTCATGTTGAATGTCTAAGTCTTTTAGCATATAATAGAGAAAAGAGTTTTTGTAAATCTGTATGTATGTATGTATGTAAGTATTTCTTGATATTAGTAATCCTTTCTACTCTCTGTGGGATTTTTAGGTGTCAGAAAATTTAGGACATGAGACAGAGGATGAAATTATTTCAGTGGCTGGGTCTTTTGCCTAATAGTCACTATCTGTCTTTTTACTTTTTTTGTGACAATAGAATTCATTCTGGAATTGTTTCTTGATTTTTGATTGGTTCACAGATGTGAGTCATGACTGGTGTAGGGTTACCACACTAGCCCTTTTTCTTCACTTACATTTAAGAATGATAACCTTTTAGCCTCTTTTATTTATTTATTTATTTTTCTTATCTTTTTTTTATTTTTTTATGGCAAACCAAAATGATTTGACAACTTTTAGTTTTCTATTTTTTATTTTTGAAATAGTGAACTTTTTATTTTTTCATCACTATACTATACAAGGGGAGATAAAGACATGAATGCATTGTGATACTAAATAAGGCATGCAAAAGTTAAGAGCCACTTAGGGAAATGTAGAATTAACTGCTTTTATGAAAGGAAAACTAAAATTGCCCCCAAATAAATTTATTTATATATTTAGGGACATTAGAAATCAAAATCAGTATTTAGTATGGCTCCCATTGACATGAACTACAACCTCAGCTTGATGTGGGGTGGAGGAATACAACTTAAGAATTGTTGCATCAGGAATGTTTTGTTATTCCTTTTGACAGTAAAACCAAAGCTCTTGCAAATTCTTTGATTTTCAATTATACACCCAAGTTTTCAATTCTCTTCACCTAGGTTCATTTATGATAAAATCAAAGCTTTGGACAGCAGGCCAATCTTGTAACAATGTGATGTCTTTATCAATGAGAAATTTATTTTTGTTACATGTGATGTATGGCAAGGTAACCCATCATGTTGGAATATTTCACCTTCTGCTATATATGGTAATAGGTGGGACTTTAGCATAGTAGTATATTTTCACTGTTCAGTGTTCCATTGATTTTTATCAACTTTCTTGTACCATTGCTTTTGATGTAAACACAGAACATTAAACTTTCCACAAAATTTTACTGTCTTTGTTATATATTTTGGATTATGTTTTGTACTAATTGGTCTTTTGGATATACTCTCTTGTATTAGATTTCAGTTCTGCTTTGTTTTTGTCTTTATATATCACATTTTTAATTATCCCATAACAGATGTTTTTTGCCTTGTGTGATATTTTTTGGGTTAATGATGGATTTTTACTGCAATGTATTTATTTATATTACTTTTACATAGTATCCTTCTTACTTTATAGATTAACACTACAATAGTAATGCTGATTTCATCCATTACTTGACTGGCTATTTATTTGGGGTTAGATACTAATAAACTCACTAGCTTTCTTTGATCTGTTTTGTCTAATTTCAAACTTCTATCAGTCTTTTTCAAATCCCAAGCACACTCATTCAATTTTTCCATCTCAGGCTTGCCTGGGGGAATAAAGGTTCCCATTTTCACACTACAGCTGATGACTGCCTGACAATTGCCTAAAAGCATGAAACTGACAGTTGTGGTTGAACATTGTGCACCAAAAATTTAATTTGTAATTTATATATGTGTGTGTGTGCTTGTGTGAGAGAGAATACACTATGTCATGTTTTATGATATAAGCTCATAAATATGAATTGCTTGTGATTTTGAATCTAATCCAATCCTATTGGACAAAATGTTAACAAAGAAAACAAGTACTTTTCCCCTTTACTGACACATGTGACTGCACAAAAATGAGGCTATTCATGACAAACACTGCAAGCAAAAACAGAGATACCTTAATTCTAATATTTTTAACTTATTGTGAGTAGCATATATATATATATATATATATATATATCCACATTCATTATAAATTTGTATCTTGATATAATGAATTTAAATTCATTTAAATATATATTGTTTATGTGTGTTTGCGTAGTATACTGGTTAGCTGGATTGGCATGTCAAGTTCAAATTTTAACCAAGTTGGTTATGTTCAGTTATGCACAAATACACTTGGGAAAGGTATGAATATATCTCCCTCCTGCCAGTTTACCCTGCTATTAAGCCAAGGCTTAATAGCAGAGTAAACTAAGTTCTGGTTGACAACCAGTCTAAGAGAAGGACAATTCTGAATTCAAAATGAGTTAAGCATGTGTCTATCAACTGCACTCTGTAAAAAGCTACTTCCTATGGAATCTATGACAGCCCCACCTAGCAACTATTGAGGTTGTGAACCTAGATTCCACAGGAGTTTGCACAGGATTACCCCCCACCACACACACACACACACACACACACAGATGGTAGTTATTGACTCATTAGATGAGTATGACCATTGCTGACAAGTTTTTCATCTACCAAGATTTGGAAATTCAAATTTTCCTTCTCCTAGACCAGTTGCCAACCAAGGTGGAAGAGCCCAGTCTACCCTACTACTTAATCCATGACTGGAAAGATTCATACTGTTCTCCTGAGTATTTGCATATAAATGAATATACCAAACTCAATAGTAATTCAAACTCAGCTCTCCAGTTTGTCATTCTGAACTGCTATCCATTACACCAGCCAAACATTCACCACAAGAGATGTTAAGATGTCAGCAACACTCGTGATGAGATTATGGTTGTGTATGCTTTGTATGACACCACAATGACTCATGCCAACAATGTTAGGAATTCCTGAGACAAGCAGAGATATCCAGATTAGCACTGAGGCAAGTGTTATATCAGAGTTTTTTTTTTCTCCTAGACTCCTTATCAAAGGCTTGGGGTCCATCACTCCCAGGGAACTAAATATGCCCCTGAACACCAATCTGAGTATTTCTACATCCCTATACATACATAGATACATTAGTGTGTGTATGTGTAAATTTTTTTTCATATAAATTTCATTTAATTATTTCTCTAATTTTTATTTTCAGAAAGCGTAAGTTGCTGTATACACTAAATAATACTGGTAAATATTTTACCTATAAAGAACGACTCAAACATGCAGTTGTCAAAATAGTACGTGAAAAATACCTCAAGACAAGTGACTTTGAAGATAAACAAGAACTTCAGGTAAGCATAAGTCAAAACTGTACTCCTTTAAAATTCTAGATTAGCTTCTGTGTTTGTGTCACTATAAATTCATCTTTACTACTTCTTTTCTGTCCTATAAAATATTATTAGTCATTATCTCTGTTTTAATATGGGCAATTTAAATATCTATCAGTATACATGGGGTGTATATATCACCTATATTTCTGTCAAAGTATGCTAACCCTTTTGTCAACTTAATACTCACAGATCTATTAATGATCCAGCTGGGATGGAAAAAAATCTATCTATGGTATTTGATGACAGTAAATAAGGCTCAATACCAAGATTAGAATATAAATGCCCAAGCAATATTTAGCCACCCACAACTCCCTATTTCTGTTTGCACCGTTGGATCTTGCAAAATCTAATAATAAAACTGAACTGAGCAGATATCCTTAAAGTATTTAAGGATATTTATAAAGTTAAGCTCATTTTGACACAAAAATCAAATTGCTTGAATCCAAAACTTTGTGGTCAACACCAAAAGCAAAGCAAGGTAGTAGGGGTAATGTCAATGGTCAATGCTAAGTAAAGCTGAAGCCTGATTTCAATGAAGTTGGCACTAAAATGCAACCATGATTACTGTTCTATTTTCCTTTCCACTAGAATTTAGGCAATTATAGAAGGGATGCTCTAAAATGAATGTCACCTATTTATATCTATAGAACCTACAACAGGTACAGAAAGTACAATAATAACATTAGATTGAGCAAATTTTCACCTACAAAAACTATTTTTCTACATAGTCACCACTTAGCCATGTCTTTTTGCTAATGATGAACATTTCATAGGATAGCATCTATAGAGGACCATATATTCTATTAATTATATTTTAAGGTAAGCATTATACAATGTCTACATATTACAGTTCATTACGCTGATTTAATGGATCATTATTCTTAGGAAACTTAATGATATGTAGCTTTTCATGTAGACATGGGTCATTTAAGGACTTACAAACTCTTGTTTTTTTTTTAATATTTTCCATTTTACTGCAGGGGTTTTATTGATTTCTTTTACATACCAAAATATTTAGATAGTGATGTTCAGTTACGGTACATATTGTTATTAAAGGAAGAAATATGTTGGTACCATCTTTGTTTAAAAGAGTTTTTTGTGCTTCCAATATAAAATTTCTTAACATCTGGTTTTTCAGTAGATGAAATAGTGCATTGGTAAACAATAGATTCAGTAAAACATTTATTTTCTAATGGACAATTTATGGGTCTTTTCCAATTTCATAATTTATTATCAAAATTATTGATTTCCATTTTGGAATTGCTATTATTTTTATTTAGGTTTAAGTGTTTATTTAAAATTTTATTATTATGTTTTTTTATAATTTTTTATAGATTTTCAGTACAACTATAATTTAATTTAAGCATATTTTTATTGAAAATCTTGCTTAGAGGATTATTACTTGGAAAATGTTTCTCAAAGCAAGAAACTCTTGCCCTTACTGCTATTTGGTTAAATGGGGGTATGTACCAAATGATTTTTCTATATCTATGTTTTTTCTGGTTATTATTATCTTTTCTGAATTTAATATCAGAGCATTTATATCCAGTATTTTTTAAATCATTATTATAAAAATTGCAATGTTTATAAAATACATCTTCATTAGCAGAGTTACTACTAATTCTTTATTATATGGATGAGGGTATGTGTTTTATTATAGATGTGGGGTGATTAGACTTTGGGTGGATATATAATGGACTTGTATTTTTTTTGTATGGTTGGTATATATTATTGACTAAATCTAATGTTACATTGAGGAAGTTTACCTTTTTTAAATTTGTATTGATAGTAACTTTTAAGTTTAGGTTTTTAAACTCTCTATGTATTAACTTTCTAATTTTGTCACTTTTGAAGTTTGTTGAATTTCTCACAACCATAAGGCCATCATCCCTATATAATCCTATATCTTCTATACTGATGTCATAGTGGGCAGTAAGATTGTACAAAATAAATAATCCAATGAGATCAGAAGACTCCACACAGTCCAATGATCCCATTGTAATATCAAAATTGTCTCCAGAGTTATTTTTCATTTACTATTCCTAGTTATGAATAAGAACTGATTTTTTTGTATTCATGATGATGTTGCATTCCTCCTTAGATAGCTCTGAATACGCAGTGGCAAATTCTAATGCAGATGTAAAAAGTTGCCTTGAAATTGACAGGTAATATTCCTCAATATCAAACTGGATTAAAGAACGATTGGTTTTATCTTTCATATTATAAAACCAATTGGTTACATCGGGGGTATTAATCCATTGCATTAATCCAAGGTAGTTCTTAATTTGTTTATTTACTCTCTCAAGGATTATTTTACTTATTCTACCAATCTCAGGTCTAGGATTTATGAACCTGGTGGTAGAATTTGTTTCAAAGTCAGGTTTGTATTCCTTGATGGTAACGTAACATTCCTATGTGCTAAGTTTTCCAACTCTGTCACTAATTTTTAGTTTATCTGTGATCTTTTTACTGGATGTATTTATACTTTCTATCAAATTAACTAAGTTATTATTTATTTTTCTATAGTTTTTTGTTAATTTTTTTTTAATTAGAGTATTATAGTCCTTGGCCTTTATTTTATAAAAGTTTGCTGTTTTATCTGACATTACAAACACTTTATCAGATTTATTTATATTCTTTACTACATAATCAAGGTGTCTTTGGAAATAATCTTTTCTTTTATGAAAGATGTTATTCACTATATCCAGTAAACCATTTTCAAACCCAAACACCCTTTCAATAAATGGAGCCGTTTTTTTGCTTTTAAATCCATAAACTTCCTTGAGCACGTTATCCTAATGAAGAAAGAAATAAGCTTTCCATCTCATTCTTCAAATTAAATACTCTGTTTTATGTATCATTTTAACAAAATCATATATATATATATATATATGCACACACACACACACACACAAAATTTAAAGTGGACATGATCTTTATCATTTCAGAGTGCATAGTCAAATCTATTGCATTAAAACATTGGAGAAGTAACACTCTAGTACAGCTAATAATAATGACAATTATCAGTAAACAGAAAATTCAATAATGTTTCACAACAGTAATCCAAATAAAATCACAATTGTAATTTATTTGTATTAAAAATTTAACACCTGGTTTGGTTTTTCAGAACTTTCTCAGTCAGCTGTATATTTTTCTAATGGATGAGATGCATGCTGCTCTTAACAAATTCCTCTGCCTTGATGCCCAGCCTCCAATTCCTGAGCCTCTTTCTGATTCTACTCAACTAAAACACTTTGCCATTGAAGCTGAAATGAATGGAAATATCAGCCTTGCAGCCAGGTACCATGAAGAGGTATGCATTTCTTCTCTCCAAATAGATATTAATATAAACTGTTTTTAGATAAAAGATGATAGTGTCCTTATGGAGGATAGGAGGTTATCTTCTGATGTCTGTTATCTCCATATATAAAGTATAATTGATTTTGGTGAATATTGGCCTTGTGTAATGATTAAAAGAAAATGCTCAGTGTTGATAAATAAAAAATAAATCTTTATATACACAATATAATACAGAAGGATCAGGTGAAAATTAAAGTTTCAAGAGTTCAAGTGTAAAATCTTGGGGCATAAGAGAAATAGAGAAAGAATCCAGAAGGAGTGAAGTATATATATATATATATATATATATATATATATATATATATATATGGTAGTAAGGAACAAACTTAAAGCATATAAATTGGTTATAAATTTATTTCAGCAGATATACATATATTTACCTACCTCATCAGACAAACAACATTTTATTAAATGTAATCTGTCTGATGAGGTAGGTATATATATGTATGTCTGCTGAAATAAATTTATAAACCAATTTATATAACGTTTTAAGTTTTTCCTTACTATTATTTATATTGCTCTGTATATAAATTTATACATTGAGCTCTCTTCATGGATTTGACTTTTTAATATTTTTATGTTAAAAAAGACCTCCTTGAATAATTCCTTCCACCTATGGATTGGGTATATATATATATATATATATATATATATATATATATATATATATATGTGTGTGTGTGTTTGTATGTGTATATATCCAGATGTAATAGCCACCAGTTGACCACATGGTAAAGGAAGGTATGTTTGTTTTCAATGTAGCAAGGAACAGTTTAGCCATCTATGGCTAGTTGTGCAAATGTCGTATTTTGTCTCTGAGTATGTTATGATGACCACAGCATTGAAGAATAGACAAAATTTATCAACTCTGATTTTGGCAGATTTTCCATCTGTTTATATACACATCTGTATATCTGCTTTGAAAAGGCTGCTTGCTTCTCATTAGCTTCCAGCCATATACCCTGGTTGTGAAAGCTTTCTGATTGGTTGGTCAAACTATGGCTTTGTTTGCCTGGTGATTTTTATTATTTATTTTTTAGAGATGGTGAACTTTTGATCTTGTTATTATTTATTTTTATTTATTAATTTCTCTATCACTACATCCTTAAACAAAGATTCATCTTCCATGTGTAAAAAATTCCTTTTTGAAAAATATGTAAATTGTCTATACTAAGAAAGAAATTTAGATAGTCTTAATTTTGTAGATATGATTGAATTTATTACTTTGCATTATAGTTTATAATCAAGATTTTAACTTCTTGCAAATTCACTATGTAGAGCGATGTTTGTTCTTGTGGAAACAATGAACACTGATAAACTTCCTTCTGTCAGTCTATTTAAGTGTTTTCAGAAAGTAACCCTTTTAAATTAATTTACGTTCTTTCATTGACATTAAATAGTTTTAAACTTATTTTTAATTGCCTCATTTGAATTGTTTTTATTTACATTTTAATGTTGACACCTTATTTCTGTATCAATTCTTAAACCTTTTTTGGAGGTTTGAAGTTGATGGTTTCTGCTATTATAGTATAGGAGTCTTTTTTTGACTACATTAAATAGTCCCACATCTCACTTTGAAAAAAATGTCCTTTTGTATTTGATTTTTTTAAAGTCATTATTTTAATAAATGACTTAAATATTGACTGTTACAGGTTTTTATCTTATAATTCTGTATTATTTATAAGGAGTATATTATATTTGATAGTGTTTTTAAGCTGCAGTTGAATTTGTATGCAAAATGGTTTAAACCCTATTGCTCTTTGAAGAAATATAACACAAATTTAACTGTCTTCATATCATGAAGGTAGTTTCAAAATATTTAATCATTTTGAAGTCATAGTTGATAATAAATAATAGATAAAATCATTAGGTGCTATAAAACTATTTTTATCTTATAATATTATAGGAGAATATATATAAATTTCTATATATCAGAACAACATTAGGCAATTGAATGAAAAAGTGGAAAACTATGTAACATGTTTTATCCTTGAAAAGAACTTCATTTAACTTTATAATATAAAAATTTCATTTATGACATAAATATTTTCAAGTGCATTCAGTTTGCTTAGGTTCATCAATAAGTCTAGCCTAATGATAGAAAAAAGGCATTTATTTCATGCAACAAATATTTATTTTTTCACATAATTTCCTTCCTTATCAATGCACTTATTTCAGTGGTGAATAGTGACCACACAAATTACACATTATACAGTGAAAATTTAAGATAAAAATTCTTTTAACTACATGTGGATTCATTGATGCTCCCTTCTGTACTAAAATATCTTTCATAAAAAATATTCTTTGCCTGAATGTTGTCAAACTGTGAAAACATCTTTTTATATTAGATGATATCTTTTATAGTGGCTTGGGGCTTAGGGATTAAAATGAACAGTTGATTTAACAACACCAAAAAGATTAATGGAGTATGATAATAATGAGGAAACACACAGGTAATTTTAACAAAACAAGAAAAGTCATCTATTTACAAATTTACATGATTAAAGTTGTGTCAGTATCTCATTTCAGGAAAATAAATTAAGAATTTTTAATGTCTCTAGTTTTAACAAATTGTTATGAAGAATATTCATATAACAGATTAAATGATCTGACACAAAATAATATTCAGAAATGTTTACAACAAAGATAAGTGAGTTTGTTGCTCACAGAAGGGATATATGGTTTGCATATGTTCAAAAGTAGACAAAGATAGTTTGAAATACTTAACTTTCTTGGATTGTTGAAGGAAAATTCTTTGAATTGCTGTGTGCTTGGTTAACACCTAATAATATAATTGGCAAGTAATTTGACTCTGACAAAAACTTTAACAGTTGATGCTGTGAACAGAAATAAAATCTTTCACTTGACTTCAGACACTCTTCTCATTAATTTAATTTTTCTCCTCATTTTATATCAAAAGGAATTTCACATAGGCTTTCTACTTTCTTGCTCTCTTCTTCTTCGTTCAATGGCTAATTTCTGTGAAGACAAGGTTGGTCCCAAAACAATTTCACATAAACTAACAAATTTATTTCTGTCTTCTTTTCAGCTCACCAGTCAATTTCTCTGAAGGCAAGGTTTTCATTGGTTCAAAAAAATTTCACAAGGCTTGTGAATTCATTTCTGTTTTTTTCCTCAGTCCTCTGAATTTGAAGAGAGTGGGTAAAGGGAGTTGTTATTTCACACTCACTGCACTTTATTTGGCTTTTATTTTAAAATCAAATTGTTTAAATCCAAAACTATGTTTTTAATGCCAAAAGATAAATTAAAGATTTTAGGCCGATAGTAATAATATTTTTTTTTAGAAAAACCACCAAGCTTCTTTTCTTAACTTTGTGGTCCTTTTTTCTATTTTTTACAGAGAATATCCAGAGATAAAAATGATGCCAGTCATTGGCTGGATTATAGCATTTTCTGTTTGGGCCAACAAGACATAGATAAGGTATGAGTAAAACTTGAACACAGCTTAAATGTTATGTCTAAATGTTTCATTTTAAATAAAATTTAGTCAAGTTGAAATTCACTATGAAAGTATTTATTGTCATCACTGGAAATATGTTTGTATTGAAAATAATAACATGGAAGGTTGATCACAAAAAATTAACAGACAAATAACCATCACATAAAAGAAAAGAAAATTAATTATTTACAAAATCTTTTGAGGTGGGCTGTCAAAATTACAATATAAATTACCAATATAAAATTGTTGTGACCACAAAAATGTCTGATCTAACTTATAAAATCTTTTCTCTAGATGAACTATATATTTTTTTTTTACATAGAATAACGTTTTTTTATTTTTTAAATCTTACTAAAGCCTTTTTTTCTTTTTTCTTTTTTAAAGAAAATAGCTTATATAGTGATGGTTTCTCTATTGCAGTTCTGAAATCAGCATTTTCCTCACTTGGATATTGTAAAAAGAAAATGGTTTCCACTTTACTTAATATTATTGCTAATCCATAACTTCTCTTAGTTGTTGACTAGTATTGGTCACACAAAACTAACACACTCCTTTTTACTTGAGCAAGAAAACCAGCCAGAATGCATAGCATGTCAAACACCCTATACTGTTAAACACATTTTAATAGAATGTGAGGATTTTGCTGTTATCAGATAATGCTTTTACAACACAAATAACATAAGAGATATATTGAAAAATGTCAGTATAGATGACATACTATCCTTCCTGAAAGACATAAAATTATACCAAAAATATAACAGTAAACTTGAACTTTACCCTAAATCTTATCCTTCAAAGTGATTCCCAATCCAATTAGCAATTAACAACTGCAGACATCTTACTGCCAAAATCTTGAAAAATCCTTGAAAAAACATAATAAATTTAAATAATCCCCCACAATTTACTTCTTGGCATAAAATAACCTCAGATGGGTTGACATACTGTTATAACCAATCAATCAATCAATCAATCATTGTTATTGGCTTTATAACTATTTTTCAGTTGATTAATTTTTTTGAACTTCCTTCAGGTGTATAATTAATCTGGAAAGATGGAATACTTACTATGGATAGTCTTTGACCAAAGTATTACAGGTTCCTGTAAATAGCATCAACATTTTTTTCTCAGTTCACTTATGAGATTCTAATATCATACCAAAAGTTTTCATGTTTTTGTTATTTCTTTATTGAACATAGATACCTACATTGGTGACCTTGATCCTGTTGTCTTTTGTCAAACTTACGTAAGCAGCTTCTGTCACATTATGCACCTTCCAGTAAAGTGCTTTACTTTTATTTAATAGTCCATACAGTTATGGTTGGGAATATAAGAGCAATAAAAGCTAACTCCATAAAAATAAACTTTAAAAAGATTAGGAAATTGTAAACAAATGTGCAATAACTGAATATATATAGAAAGAAAAAGGAGCCCAATACCATCTTTGGAATGGGAACTAAATAATAAAGAACCTGACTGTTGAGTACATTGGTTGCTTATGTAAATCTAACATAAGTCAGGTAGTACAAAGTTCAATGCAATGTAGTTACCTATACTCAATAAAGAAAAACACACATGAAAATACATGTAGTTGAAAAAAATGATACTCCCTTATCTCATATGTTTACTGAGAAGAATAGCATATGTGTTCATCAAAACATAACTGGATTTTTTGTAATTAAAAAAAAAATTGCTACAGCCTGCAAGAATCTTAGATTCAAAGATCTAGATATATCTGTTATAGGAACCTTCTTTTACTTTTTAAACTGGGGATGGTTGATGAAATTATTTAACAAAATGTAATGAGAAAATAAGAATGAAAACATTATTCCAAATAATTTGTTGATTAATAGTAATGTCTCATCTCAAATTCAGACAATATTTTGATCACCATTTTTTTTTCTTTGTTTCTGCTTACTTACAGTTTTTACTAAACATAAAGAAACATTTTTTCTTTTAATTTTTATAAAGTCTATACAATATAAATCTCTTTATTAAGACTGTTTTGCTCGAAATAAAAGGTCAGTTTTCTTTTAATACATTGAACTAGTGTGCATGCATTGCTTATTGATCAATTATTTTCTGATTTAAGGCTGAAGAATGCCTGAGAAAATGTGTGGCTATTGACCAAGAACATTTGAATGGGTAAAACCTCTTAATTTTATCATTATTTTTTTCATTAAAATTTATGCTTATTTTTTCATTATAACAATAACCCATACTATTATTTTATTCAGTTTTCAATTACCCTTGCCATGTAAAAGCATTTCTCAATGGGATATATAAAGAGAATTTTCATTTTTTAATCTCTCAAGAGTTTCTATATGGTTTTGAAGCTTATATAATGCTCAGCATATAGTGTCTTTTGATGATCCTTGCTCATTTTAAAAGTTTTTCTATTTTGGTGACCCAGGTTCTCCACTCTCTTGCATTTTGAAACAACATAATTAACAACTCATTTAAAACTCAGATATTGTTTCATTTCTTTCCAATTTTTTAATTCTTTGAGCAGCTTCAGCAACATTCGGCCTCAGTTTAAAATAATGTCTCAAAATTGCCCCAAAACTCAATACTTGGATTTGCCATTATAAAATTTGTTAAATGAAGCATTTTCAATAATTAATTTTTGACTATTTCATATATTCTCTTCCTTTATTATATTGGTAGTTTTAATATTTGAATTTCTTAGATGAAATGTTGTCAATTTACTAAATAAATGTAATGAATTAAGATACTCCTAAAATTTACATACTTAATATAAAACATCCAAGTGATTTGCAGTTGAATGATATTATTGTAGGGTCTTTTTTAGCATTTAACTGAAAGACTGATTTTTGAATGGAAATAACTATTAAATCCTAATTTGGGAATTTTTCCTTTTTACCTTTTTGCATATGAGTAAAAACAACCTGGGTGTGAAAAAAAGATAACTTCCCTTTTGCACATAATACACATAGTAGTTTAAACTGAAAGTCAACAAATTCAATAATAATCTTTCTTCCATCATAAATTTCTCTCAAAGGACCATGCACCAGGTTACAGGGTTGTCTAGTTATTAATTTTTGACTAGTATTTCTTTCACTTTTCTTGATTTTATTGTATTATTAGTTGTAATATTATTTGAATTACTTAGATGAGGAATTGTGAGTTTACTCATGCTGTTATGATAATATATTTTGTTTTTTAGTTTTTAGTATTATTAGGGTTTCTATTTGAGTCTTTAATAATATAAATGCATATATGTACTATTGGCAGTACAAGAGAGATAACTAGAACTGCAAAATGTTACAGATCTTACAATAAAAAAACCCTAATTGGTGTTTTATACTGTAAAATTTTTAGAATTTTTTTATCATATATATATATATATATATATATATATAACTTTTATATATTCTTTATTTATTTTTCAGGCTTTTGTTGTTTTCTATTGTCAGTAGCCTGAAAAAACTAACAGAAGTTGCAGAAACTTTTCTGGAAACTGCTTTAATGATTGCTCCCAAAAGCATAATTGCTTGGACACTTTTTGGTATGAAAGTTTATATTATAGACATAATCTATTCTCTAATATGAAACATATTATCACTTTATTTATTTATCAGTCAGACAACCAAATTTCCCCTTCTTAATAATAAGATATTCCTTTAACAGGAAGCATTACTCTATGCCAATAGGCAAAAATGAATTATCATGTTAATGGAATATCTCATTTGTAAGTAAGGGAAATTAGACGGCTAATGCACTGCTTTTTGTTTCTTTTGTTTTGCATTAGTTTTCTTTGGATAATTTTAAGGAATTTAAAAACAGAATTCTTTCTTACATGCAGCACTAGTGTTAATTGTCTCGATTTAAATACTAGATTACTCTAGCAGAAAATATAACCAATGCAATTGCAAAATTATTTCAATGTTGCTTTCATTATTTGATGGTACAAGTAGACAAGTTAATATGTTTGTATGTAACAATACTTGCAGCCAAAGATAAATATATTTACAGCTATTTAAAGAAAAGCATTCTATATTTTAAAACAATGGAAAAATAAAGAAAAAACACATTTTTAAACAAACCATTTCTTTACACATATGACTTGCATGGAGCATTAAAATACATTTTTCTTTAAACACTTATTTTGTTAACTTAAAAAAACACTCATTCATCTTTTGATATTTTTGAAATGACTGTATTGTCAAATCTGTGAACTCAATAAGGCCTTCAATCCAGTTCACAACAAAAGAAGCAAGTAATAGTCAGCTGGCCTTCTTGGATGACCTAATAACTCACACAGAGAATGGGTTCAAGACATTCATATGACACAAGCCAACCTTCACTAGACAACTTCAGTTCCCACCATCCTTACAGTGTGAAGAAAGGGATTGTCTTATGCCTCATCACCACTATTATAACTCTCTCCAAGTGGTTATAATATTATGTCTTGCTTAGTCTACTCTCTGTAACATCATTAGAATTCTCTCTGGCTGATTCCAATGGACTTTTGATTCACTTTGAGTTCTTTATTTAAGATATCTTGCCTAGTTCATTTGTGTTACTGGGAGATCTTATTTACTCCCCAACATCCCGCTTTTTGAGATTTTTTTTTCATTAGTAAATATTTTATTTTATTTCTTAGTATTCACACACTCCTCTTTCTGGATAGTACACCATGTACTTTCTATTTCTTTTCTTTTGGGTCAACCTCTAGTTTTCTGTACGTTTACTTTTTCTGGTAATCATACTTGTACACTCGACAAATTCTTGAGGTGCTGGTACATTAAAAATATCATACAGTACTTGCATAGATTCTTCCTTTCTTGCAGGTCTTTCTTCAGTAAATCTTTTCTTTAACTGATGCAATGCCTTTTGTATTCCTAGTTTTTCTTTTCACCATATATATCATTTTTCCAATTTATGACCTTGTCATAATAACAAAAGAGTAGGCTTAAGGAAGCTTTATTCTGCTTAGAATAATTTATACCGGTGTAGTGACTATTTATAGTCCTCTACAAACTAAAGAGTTCTCCAAAGGTAGGTAATCATAAAACAAAGGAGATTAATCCCGATTACTTTATCAACACTTATTATTCCATCTCTCCACATTTCTTTTCCATTTTTATGTCCCTTTTTTGTGTCCATTTTGTTATACATTCTTATTTGTTCTTGACCTGGTAACAACTTGTCAAACACTGATTTAATTTTTCTTGTGAATATCTGCTGGTTACATGCCTGTCAGTGTATTGGGATTCGGTGTTATCTGGTATACTCTCAAGAATTTTTGTAGTGCTTCTTCGCTCACTTTTTCATTACTTGTTTTTTTTCATATCTCTCTTAAAAGTACACACAAACCATTCAGTTTGACCTTAGGTGATGTGGTCGGGTAGTAATATGTTCAGTTGAAAACATTTTACAAAATTCTTTAAATTTGTAAGCAGTGAATTGTGTACCGTTATCTGAGGACTATGGCATTTGGAATGTCATATCTTGCAAACATTTCATGTAAAAAATTCACTGTAACCATGGAAGTTGGTTTTTTGCACTTACAAATTTCAGGTCACTTAATAAAGCTATCCACTACCACAAGATAATGTCATTTGTTTATTGGACCTGTGAAATCTATGTGTAGTCTTGACCACAGAGTATCTGTCTTTGGCCAAGGTTGTAATTTTGTGGTAGGTGATTTTTTTGTCAGAGCACAACCCCTGTAGGCTTTTACTAATTTTTCAATGTCTTGATCCATTTTGGTTTAGTATACATAGCTTCTCATAAGAGATCTCATCCTTGAAATTTCCAGAAGTCCACTATGAAATTCATTTAATATCTGCTTTTGTAATATGATAGGTATTACTACTATTTGTGCAAATATCAGTACTCTGTCACATAGCAAGTCAGTGTTCAAGTCTGAATTGTGTTCTAAAAATTGTTTGTCTTTTTTACTTTCTTTTAGTCATTTTTTTCATTTTCAAAATAAACATGTCTTGTTCTGCTTTTACTTTTATTTCTTCCAGGGTAACTGGTAATTCGCGTACTACATTACATAATATATTTTTATTTCTATTTCATTTTTTAATGCTGCAATAACAGTATTCTCAAACAGTTCAGTATTTTTTGGTATCAATCTTGATAAACCATCAGCATGTCCTAATTTTTTGGACAGTTGGTATTCCATCCTGAAATCATAATAAGATGGTACCCCAGCATTGTAATCTATTCACTATATGCATAGGAATTCCTTTTTTTAAACCATAAATTGATAATAGAAGTCTGTGATCCGTCTGTAAAGGAAAACTCCTTCTGTGTATAAATTTGTGAAATTCTTTTCACTGCAAATATTGCTAATGCCTCTTTTTTGATCTGGCTGTAGTTTTCTTCTGCTGGTAGTAGCGAATGCAAAGCATGTGCAATGACTTTCATGTTACCATCATCATATTTATGTAGAATTACTGTTCCTATACCATAGTCACTAGCATCTAAAGCCAATATGATTTCTGCTTTTGGATCATAGTGCATTATTAATAAGTCTGACGTTAGTACTTTTTTGATTTCTTCAAACACTTTCTGACACTTATCAGTCCAGTTCCACTTTAGGCTTTTTTAAGCAAATTGTTCAGTGGATAAAATAAAGACAATTGTCTGTGTGTAAATAATGTACATTTCTTGTTCATAATATTGAAACATTTTAAAAAAAGAACTTTGAGAAACTATTGTTGGTCTTTTGACGATTAATAACTGACTTTGCAAAAGTAAATCATTGACTATTAACTATAACACAGACAGGAACTGAAAGTAGAAAATTAAAAATTAAAGCTCTTACATTGATGTTAATAAAATTAATAATAATAATATTAATAGTATTTCAGAATCTATATGACATAGGGGTAAAAAGAGCAAAGGTTTTTCAGTTCCTTAGGTCCCTTTTTGGGTCTTTAATTAATCCTTCTTTCCATTATATGCTAAAAAAGACAATTTTTCATCATTTGGCAGGACTGTTCCATGATGCTTTAAACAATGAGATTCGTTCTGAAATGGCTTTTCTTAAGGCCAGTCAACTGAACCTGGCGAAATTTCTGACAAAAGAAACAACAGAAACAGACACAGCACCTCCTTTAACATCACCACAACAAACTGTTGCCTCTCAGCTTAGCGTTCTAAAAAGAAATGACACATCACAAGCTGAGATGTCACCAAAACAGGATATTTCTGGGCTTGACGTTAGTGAAACGGGTATTATTAAACAGGAAATTTCTGAAATGCATTCAGATAATGTGCAAGAGGAGAGCAGTAAGTAAACTTTTTTTGCCTTAGGTTTTGGGCTTAAGTTTTTCTGGGTATCCATACCACCATCTTACTTTAACATAAAATTAAAATAAATTTGCCTACTTAGATAAATTTCAAAATTGCTAATCTTTAAAAGTGAAAGTTGTAAATAATTTCATTTTTTTCAATCAAAAGTGCTAAATTTAAATTTGTAAGGTTATCTTCTGTTAAATATGCAGTGTTGCTTTTCATCTCAACTTGTAAGATAGTCCAGTATGATCACCTTCATTCCCACATTTACTGTTGTCCAGCCAAGAAAGAGGAAGAATTATTGAATGAGTACAAATCTAAAACTGTAGTAAGATATTTTAGAAGGGTAGTGATTGGTTTATATTAGCCAATCAACATCTGTGTTTTATGTCAGTTTTGGCTGATGTTAGCAGTGTTAAACATAATTCTTGCAAGTTCAAAATTTTGGATTATCTCTTATCCACTAGTTTTCTAATTTTGCTGTTTTATCAATAAAATTTTTTTGAAGATCTCATTGGTGATACAAAATTTAATCAATGCTATAAAAATAGGCATATTAAGAAGAGAAGAAATTGGACAAAGCAAAAAAAAAATTAGAAACAGCTGATTGATTTTTGTTCCTCTCTCATCAGAACTAAATTGATGAATTAAAATACTGTACACAATGACTAAAGAAACTGGGGTGGGGGGAATCATGAGTATAAAAATTAGTCATATATAAATAATATATTAACACATGTGTACTTATGCTATAAACAGTTTGCATTAAAATCCAATAAGCATGGTTGTTTCAATTAAATAAAAATTGTCTCAAGAACTTTCAGATGAAAATCAGAATGTGATCTACATAACACAGGAAACATCAACATGTTAAGTCAATGTGTATTGCCGATTATTAATGTGATGTTTGGAGACTGCAGACTTGGATATAACAGAACAATTATGCAAATTTTCAAGTTGACTTTTCTTTTATTTGTTATACCATTAGTCGACTTTTTTTTTATTTGTAATACCATTACTCAATCTATATGACTACTAGATACTTTTTTATAGCAGAAGACCTCATCTTTACTTGTGACCAAAGATATTCAAATATAGAGGTTCCATTCTTATGCAGCTTTCTAAACAATAAAATAATGAATTGTATCAACTGATTGCTTGTTACCTTTCAAGTAGAGATGCATTAAATTTAAAAATAAAATATCATTTTTTACACTTATTTTTACATGTAAAAATAAACAGGGTTCCCATTATACATGAGCACACAGTGTACATAAATATACTAATAGTTTTGATATTTTATTTATGTTAAAGTCAATACAATCTGGACAATTAATAATTAAATGCTCAGATTGTCAAAATCTTTATACCTCTTTAGATATAATGTTACCTACAAAATACAGTGGCTGCTTTGTTCTCTTTTACATACTCTGTACACATTGTTGCATTCTGTATAAATAAATACCATATTTAATCATTTAAATATGTTGCAAGAAAATGTAATATGTCAAAAGAAAAGTATGAAATTTTTCATTATGTTTATGTTAGATATTTATAGGAATAAAAATTTACGCAATCGACAGAAATTTACACTTAGCAGATTTTTTAAATATGTTTATGTATATATAAGGCAAAAAAAATTATACTTGATGGAGCTTTTTAAAAACTTTCTTTAAGTAATTATCAAATAAAAAATTAATTTTATTTCTTTTATATTGTTTTTTTTCAATAATGGGTTTCACATGTCAAAAAATAATAGGTTTACAGCTGTTCAGACATTAACCACATCATTTTCTTCTTTTTAATTAGTATATATAAAATTTATTGCTTCTTAGAACATATTTAGTAGTATTAATTGGTTTATTTGATATACCAATAAAGTTTTTGTCTACTTGATTAATATCCACAAATATAAAGCTATATAAAGGAAAAAATGTAAAAAATATATTTAGCATTTAATAGAGATATACTTATTTACAATTACACAATTTACTATAAAAATAATATAGAAAAATGACACAATCACTTCACAATGCTTCATACTCTAAGAACTAGGTTATTGTCAAATTTTAAAAAGATGACCAATCTAGAGATATAATGAGCCTACATCAAATACCACAAAAATTGGGAATTCAATCTTCAGCTGTGAAGGAAAGGTCTCATTATGGTTACCTTGAGCTATCAGAAAAATGTGTCTGATAGGAAACTGAAAAATTCTCTGTTGATATGATAGAGCAGCAAAATGTTCATCTCTTAAATTAGTCACCATTCTGCAGTGAAAGCATTGGGAAATTAAATGATACATAAACTCTTATAGTATCTGGCACATTCATTTTTGACACAAATCCTCATTTTCTTGATTTTTAACAATGGATAAAGATGGTTGTGAATATTTTGTTACCAAGCATTTTGTTTTAATGTTTTAACCATCTGCAGCCCACAATCAAACATCATAGTCTTTTGTTTGTAGTGTCAATGGAGCAATTTTTGGGATGTGTTGAGAATATCTATTTTGCATAAGAGACTTTTCCCAATATTTAATTATAACTATATGCATAAAAACACCACCATTTTTGTTAACAATAAGATCTGGTGTCATGCAAAAAAAAAAAAATTTAAACAAAAAAGGCAGATCAAAAGATGTATTAAGTGACTTTCCAAGGCAACTCTGTATCTTTCTAAGTCAGTCTTCTTACACTATTCTTGTCACACATTTGGGATTATGAATTTAAAATAATTTGCAGAAAATTTTCAACAACAAAAAAAACCCAATGATTTTCTTCATGCTTTCAATGTTGTCTGCAAAGGATATAGCAGATCTGATAAATTTCATACTTGAAGGAAGAAAAACTTTAAAATTTGCTCATAACAAATATATCAAATTTTTTATTTGTATAATATTTTTAACAGTATAAATTGCTGAAAATAAAGGTATCTATTGATTTTGTCCTTTCTTGTTACACCCATACATGCACACATTGATGTTATTTATTTAAAGATTTTAAGCAGAGCCATTTTTAGGTACAGCACAGTATAAAATTCATTATTAATGACTTAATATACTAACCACCAGTTTATGATGTTCTAATATTCCCGAATGCTTTTGATGAAGTATTTTTCTTTGTTTACAGTACATGAAATGGAGACAAGAGTGATTCCAGCCACTGAACAAGGTTTTGCCAATACATCCCAGTATGGCATGGAGATATCTCAAAATTCAGAAAAAATGTCAACACCAAAATCAAAAATGTTTGATAAAAAACATTCTCGTATGTCCAAAACATCTTCCATGGGTAATTTGTAAATTTGATTGACAGAATTAGCCTAATATTAATTAATGAATGATGTGTTAATCCATTTAGTTGGATGAAAAAGGAAGATAACAAAGAAAAGGGGGAAAAGAGGTAGAGTGTTAATATGAAAATTGGTTTTAACATTTAAGAGATTCCATGAATACAATTTATCACAAAGCAAACTAATATAGGAGTGGGTGCTGAATCCTTTCTCAAATAAAATTTGATGTTTGGTTATTTAGTCAAATTTTGACAGATGAGTTGGACTGAGACTTTTTCAAAACCCCCTTTGCATTTATACAGTAGGCCCTCACTTAATGGTGTTTTATTAGATGTCATTTTGTTGTAATGTTGATGAGAAAAAGTAGAAATAAAACCTAATACTGTAAAACAATGGGGTATGAAAGCATTGCAATACAACAAGCCATTCAATGTCCAGATGTCTGTTACATGTAAAACTCAAAATAGCTAGAGTTGCAATGGATGTACACTAGTTTGGATAAATGTAATGAGATTACTTGCATTATATAGTGAAGAATTATTTAATGTAGATGTTATGGAGGTGGAACAACACTGTATTGAAAAAGATGATAATAATTGTTATGATGATCAAACTTAGTAGCAGCAGATATTCTATGTATACTGACTCAAAGTTGTTCATTTCAATTGTCTTGATCTTACTAAGCTTTTCTTAATTTTGATTTTGATAATTGTTTCCAAAAATTCTTTGAAATAAGGATTACTTCACTTTCAGCATCAATTTGCATTTTTAAGCCTACACTGTTTAATTTAATATTCGTGAAGGTGTTCTTTTTGTTTCTCCTTTCTATTGCAAAAAATGTTTGTTTGACTGTTTACATCATCATGTATTATTTTGACAGTTTTTACATTGGTATCTCGTCATCTACATACAACTTGAAAATGATTTTTTTGCACTTATTACATGTCTGTCCCCATGCTGAACATTTCTCTCTCTTTGATTCATGTTTATAGTTGCAATATCTGCATTTTATCATTTTTCTTTTTATTGCACATGTGTTCATAAACTCAGGTTGGTTTTCATTTGCATTAATTTTTTCAATTAACTCCTCTTGTTGTATGAAGTCAATACAAGCTTCTAAAGTCATTTGGTTTGTCTGTAACCGCTCTCAAATTTTTATTCTATAAGAGGTGTTGTACAGTTCTTCTACCAATCGGAGTTGAATTAATTCTTCCTTTGTGCTTATTCCTTGTTATCCTAGTTCAGGAAATTCACAATATCTGCCGGTATCTCTTCTTAAATATTTCCTTATAGGCTCCCCAAATTCTTGCCTTAATGCTAAGAAATGGGTTCGTTCAGCTATGACCATACTTTCTTTGGTTGAATATTTCTCAATATTATTTATTTGACTTCCTTGAATGTTAAATTTTCAATTTCAGCCAGGTAAGTCATTAGCAAAATTTGCCTAATAGCTTCACATCCTGCAGTGGCCAAAAATAGATCCATGATTTCTTTCTTTCTGTCCTTCAGATGTTTGGCCATCTCGTAACTTCTTTATTCTCAAAACATTTTATCCAAATTTTTACGTTTTCAGGTTCTTTTATGTTCAACATAGTTCCATTGGGCAACACCCTTTTGTTATGATGATCAAACTTAGTAGCTGCAGATATTATATGTACATTGACTCAAAGTTGCCTATGAGCTATAGTTATAGCTCTCTTTATGCTAATTACCTATTACAATGATGAAAGTAAGTTTGTTGAAGCACCAT